AAGAAGACAAACAACAACAACGCAAAAGAAAGCAAGTGGAGTACTTAGGGACTCATTAATATGTATATATACATTTATATTTTGTTTAGTAATTATAGTTATTTTGATGCACTAACTAACTATTCCCGTTATGCTATTTTTTATATTGTGTGAACTAATATTATTGTCCTGTGTAAAAATGTCTATCATGTACTTCCAATAACATAAAAATTTATAATTGTAGTTTGTTGTAGCTACACGTTTAATGAACTTAAAATATCTATGTTGGGCGAAAAAGTGGGTGTAGGATTCAGACGCAGAAGTGTACTGTCATCTTTGAGCAGTCTGGTGACTGAGGAGATGAACACTGCGAGTGTGTTTGCATCGCGCACATCAGCTGTTAGTCTATTCCAAATGACTGAAAACTTATTTAAGAAGAAATTATACCGCATGTAAGTCTGACAATGCTCTATAGCAGCTAGGTTGTGATGATTTCTAAGATTGTAACTGATGACAGCGGTAGGTTTAATTATTGGCTCGGAGGAGTGCACGAGCAGATTAGTTAGCTTGTAGTAAAAAATCAGGTTTAGCTTAAGACATCTTTTCCAGAGTGGTTCTAAACTTAGTCTGTCACAACGTTCATAGTATTGGAGACCACTTTCTAAACCAAGAATTCTTAAGGTGAATTGCCGTTGCACTCCTTCTAACTTAAGCTTGTCATTTTGTCTGAGTCCGCTAAGAATAAACGGGCAGTATTCTAATATAGGTCGGACACATACTTTATATAATAAAACCCTAGTTTCACAACAAAAGAAATTGCGAGTTATGCATCCTAGTAGCCTTCGTGTTTTACGTCTGGCATAATCAGTTTGTTCAGAGAACGTTAAGTTACTAGAGTATCTGATACCGAGATCTACGACTGAGTTGAGCTTGGCTAGTTTACACCCATTTATTTCAAGATTCAGGTCAAGGTTACTGTTTCCGATACAAATCCAGCCGCATTTATCAATGTTGAACTTTAGACAGGATTCAGTACGCCATGTTGCTAGACTACTTAGTTCAAGATGTATTTTATTCACCATATCGCTTAGTTCATGAGCGTAGCAGGAGTAAACGACTTTGAGGTCGTCAGCATATAGGAATGATTTACCTGAGGTGAAGCAGTTGCAAATGCCATTAATGTATACTGTAAATAAATGTGGACCTAGGACACTACCTTGCATAACCCCAATTGTGATCTGTCTAGGATGAGACAATACAGATCCAACCTTGGTTATTTGTACCCTATTGCTTAGAAACGATTTTAACCAGCTCAGTAAAGGATTGCGAATCCCACATGAATACAGCTTCTCAAAGAGAATACTGTGAGATACCATGTCAAATGCCCTAGATATGTCGAAGTAGAGAACAACAACTAGCTTACGTGCTTCGCGACTACTAGTGATGCAGTTGAAAAAGTCGAAGTGGCAAGTAACGCAAGACCTATTTTTGAGAAATCCGTGTTGAGACCTCGTAACAAGATCTTCCTTAAGTAGATAGTCTGACAACTGATCTTTGACAACTTTCTCCATGATTCCAGAGACAACTGGGGTTATATTTATGGGTCTGTAATTGCGGACGTTCGCCTTATCACCAGATTTATAGTGTGGAATTATGAAGCTAGTTTTCCACTCATTAGGGTAAGTGCCAGTGTCCATAGATATTGAGAAGAATTTAAGAAGTAGTAGGGGTATATCACACCCACTGTTTTTGAGAATTATAGAAGCAAGGCCATCTGGTCCCGAGCTAGTGGAAGGTTTCAGGCTTTTAACTGCTTGTTCTATTAATTGGTCGGTGAACACTATGCTTCCGAGGAAAGAGCTAGTAAGGGGGCCGGTGTCACCAGGAATGCGCATTTCTAAACTGAAGTTTGCAAACCATTCACTGAATATTTCACAGATGGTGGCAGGCACATTGTAGATAACTTTGTCATGAAGTAAATAGGGGATGTCCCTAGTCGACTGCATTCGTTTTTTAAGAAGTGTTGTTAAGTTATAAACTTTGGAGGTGCTTTCAAGTGCCCTTAATTCTTCGTCGAGGTCATTTTGAGAGCGTTGGCGCTTGATAGATTCAAGAGACTCATGGATTGAGTGCAGTAGTGATATATCCTTAGTGGAATAGTGCCGTTTCTTAAACTTCCTTAACTTATTGCGGCATGCCCTCGGAATGTATTCAGCTTGGTGTCTACTTAATTTCACTACCTTCTTAGGAGCAACAGTATCTAGACAAAGGATAACATTCCTGTAAAATAGGGACACTACAGCCTCCAGGGAGTCAGTGGTAAAATATTCATCCCAGTGACAGAGTCGAATGAGTTCTTGGACTAATCCCCAGTCTGTATGTTTGTAACTATGATCAAAGGAGTTGACTGAAGATGGAGTTGTAAGGCCCATCCAGTCAACTGTTGGGGAATTGAAGTCGCCGACCACGAGACTTCGACATTTTGATACCAGGAGCCTAGCTTCTCTATTAAGAACTCATCTGCACTGCAGTCAGGACTGCGGTACATAGCAATGAAGTCAATGTCTTGGCCTATGCATTTAAGTCTGCAGCGTAGAAGTTCACACTATCCACTTTCGTGAGCGAGTGCTTCGATGCTACTCACGGTTATGCATCTCTTTAGGTAGATGAGTACGTCACCTCCTTTGCGGTTTAGTTGGTCCAGGCAGGTTAACTTCCCTTTCAGTGACATAGAGTGTGAGCAATGTCTCTGTGATGATAATTACCTCCGGAGCTCCGGAGTCTATCAAATTACCCAACTCAGTCAGTCTGTTTAACAGGCTGCGGGCGTTTGTGTAGCAAAGTGCCAAATCAGTTTGGTGCTTCCACGTCCTACCCATAGAGGTTTCGGAATCATCAGACTTCGAACTTTGAAAACTCAAAAACCTTTAATCCTAAGGTTCTTTCCGCCGTTTCGCCATAGCTCGCTGAATTCTAGGGCTGCAGACTGTTTTTGACACAGTCTGCTAGACTTAAGTTGGCCTGATCCTTAAGGAATTTGAGAGTTGCTTAGAATATGATCCTTTTCTTCTTTGGAGTTTAGTACGACTTTGAGGAGACCTACAGGCTGATTTACTGTAGGGTCAGGCTTGTGGCCGAATCTACATATACAGTGAATTATGTCTGATACTGTTTTTGGCAGTAGCTTATCTGAAACGGGGTTGACCAAGCAAAAGTCATGCTCGAATTTGGCATTAGGTTGGAGGCCAGTGACTCTTCCACTTTGTAGAGAATGAGCGACCTGTCAGAGAGATCCGGTTTGCTAGACATGGCTTTCCTGCTCTGCGGCGTAACTTTCCTTCTGTCCTTCGTAGGTGGTGTAGCCAATGTGTTATCCTTATCTCGCTTTTTGCGAGAGACTACATTACGCCATTCATCGGTGTCCTCCTTGCTAGTCGTAGTAGGTTTTATCTGCCTGCTATTCATCGGTGTGGGTGAGGCTTGATATTCCAGTCCCTGTGCGGCTTGAGCTGCAGGTTTTCGACCCCTTGTACGCCTCTTCTTCGTGACAGTCTTTCCGTTACTGTCACTGAAGGGCTTATCCGGTATCGTGGGGGCAGCGTGGGTGCTCTTCTGTGCTGAAGGGCACTCACTCATTGACAGAGACACATCGGGAACATGTATTTTTTTGTCGATGGCGCTAGTTACGCCATCGGTGTCTAAGCAGTAGTCGGTCTTCCCCTGTGGTGGAAGATACTTGCAATCCATGTGCTCTAAAGCCCCACTGAGAGTGTCAATGGCTTCCGTACTACATCGGTTATTGAACGACCAGTTCGCCAGCGGTTTGAAGCAGCGCTTGTATGCTTAACATGCTATGAAACCATCTCTTGCATTTATCACACTGCATTTCCTCATCAACTGAAAATCGGCACATAACCCTTCCAGAGTGGTTCCTTTTTATCAGCATGCTTTTTAGGGCGAACTGGGGAAAAACGATATATATGGCTTTAGATAACCTCTATAAATCAGTGATAAAATGACGAAGAGTGCACAAAAGTGGTTATATATAACTATGAAGTTATAAGAACACAGCTTCCTATAATTAAACAAAATCAAAACTACAGCGTAGACTAACTTCTACTAGGATAAACTGATCTAAAGTTAATCTGTAGACTTTTGGAGCGTATAACACAACAAAAGCCAAAACTAGATAAGAGAATGTTAAATTCACCTCTTTTTCAAAGTTCGCACGGTCGTTATTAGCTATCACCTGAAAAAGAAATTAAGCAATCAAAAGATGTCGACATTTTTACGACTATGAATACAAAAATTAAGTGTTGAGAAAAACTAAATGTTATGTTAAACTGTGTATCATTACGTCAGTCAATATTTTTCAAGCAGACGAAATGGACATTGCATCTGCCTGTAAACACCAAGTCTATGCAGTATAGGAAGTAAATATTACGTGTACATAATCCCCGAGTATTTCTGTAGATTTCCCTTAAAGAGATGCATGTGGAGGAGCTTTGAAATCATCAGCAAAAGTACACAGCAAAGTATGTGAAGATAATTAACAAAACGAACTAGCCCACTTCATCATATCGACGTCTAGTCCTTTGAACTGCAAAACAAAACACCTTAAACGTCGTTATAACGTGTATCATTAAGAAATTTGGCATTTTCTTAACGGAACAGTACTTATTTCAACTATTTGTAAACTGACCGTGATTACGGACAGCTAAGGACACTATGTTTTGCTATTTATGCTAAAACCGCTGTATTTCATCGACTTTTATCAGGAATACAAGCATAAAAGTGTGTAACACAATAAATACTTACCTAATTTTGAGAGTTTTTTCAATAAATATAGTCTGCAGATATCAGCTGATCAAATGACCTACGGCCGCATACAGGCTGCCCAAGGACTGGTGAATTTGTTTATTCATTCTAAAGGTTGAGGGTCTTAGTTGTCATGCACGTGCACACTTTTGATTTCAAGTTTCCCAATTCGTTATTTAGGCAGTGCTTGCTGCCCTGTGTAAATGAAAGCAACGAAATCTCTCACATATGCAGTCAGAGACACGTTAGTTTCTCCGACTCTTCTCATTCGAAGTCGTTCAAACCCGTCACCCTGTCTTTGCAAATGTGGGTCGTGTTCTCATGAAGACATATATGTTAATGTTTTACCTGATGTTTTGTTCACAACTAAGCCTGCGAAGCTAACAGCTGCTATCAATAAGTTACTTGAGCGAATATGTGAGCAAGGGAATAAATCAGTGCACTACACAAATAATAGGATGGGTAAAATAATATCTAATGTAACCAGCGACGAACAGTGTTGGTGGAAAGACATGTTTGTGAGTTTCAGTAAATTTTTCTTGCTAAGTATGTCTGTTTTTTTCTAAGAGACTGTTTATTCTAATTGGTTAACTAGAACAGTGGATCCACGAATGTTTTTGTGCCCAGAATGATGTATGTCATAGTGTTAACACCAATACAAGACAGATTCAGATTATAAGGATAGAAGGCTCTTTTTGCCTATGTTAATCCTCGCGATATATATCTTTGCAGAGATCCAGTTTCTCTTTGAAAGCGTTCACCGATGGAGCTGTTACTACTGAATCAGGTAAGGAGTTCCAGTCGTTGACCACTCTGTGAGGGAATCTAAACTCCAAACGTATTTTATTCGACCTCGGTTTGAGCACCTTCTTCTGGTGACCCCATAAATGTATTCTAGAGGGAGAGAAAAGGTCTGAAAGGTCAATCCCTAAATCACCCTTGAATATACGGTAAGCCAAAATTAAGTCGCCTCTCCTCCTTCGGTATGATAATGGGAAGAGATTTAAATGCTCCATCCTCTTATCATAAGGAAGGTGTGAGATACCACTAAGTAATTTCGTTCCTAACCTCTGTACTCTTTCCAGGGTATTTGCCTCCTTTTTGAAGCATGGACTCGCCGCTTGTATGCAGTACTCCAGATGAGGCCTGACATATGTTGCATAGAGTACTTAGAACATACCCTCGTCTAATCATTTGAAAGCCCTTCCAAGTGCCCATAGCATTCGAAAAGCCTTAGCTGTGGCCCGATTACAGTTTACCGTTGTTTTTAAGTCATGGCTAACAATAATTCCTAAATCCTTTTGTTCCCTAACATCTGGCAGTTCTGTGTCCCCCATGGAGTACGGCGTGTAAGACTTCTGACCTAGGTGCATTACCGCGCTTTTCTTGGAATTAATTTCCAGACTCCAAAGGTTAGCTCATTCGGCTAATTTGTCTAGATCGTTTTGTAGTACCAACCTATCATCGCTACTATTTACGGTTTTCCATATCTCAATATCGTCCGCAAATCGTACAGAGCGCGTGGTCTGTTCCACTGGGCGTAACCAGTGAGGATTTTACTTATTCTAATCTTCGTGCGGGAAAATTCTATTTAAGTAGTACAAATTCCTACTACGGAGTTTTAAGTCGTGGCTGCAGTGTTTTACTCTAATTCAAGCAGAATGCGATAGAGTGATAGAAAGTTACATCCAGACTTATGAGATAATCTGGATAAGGAATGCGGAATTATTTTTCAATGTTTTTTCTCAGTTTATTCACCTGTTGTGCGACATTTGTGTCTCATTCACGATAACTGTTAGCTGTGCTCGGAATTAGGACGTATCTTCAAAAAACTCTGTAATAAATCAAATAAACTGTATATTTCTAAGTGAATGTGCAGTTTTGCAGCTGACAATGGCTATTTGTATCCAGACGCTCTTTGTATAAGTGTAATACTAGTTCAGTTATTCTGATGAAAATTCATTATCAACATACAACTATGAATTTATCTGTATCGGTTCTGTGTGTTCACCTGACGAACCAGTTTAATTGCACTTCTAGCATACTGTGTAAAAGCAGCCTATGCTTGTTATGATATACAACTGCAGACATAAATATAGAAAACTTCATTCTTGATAACTTACCCATGTATAGTTTTGAGACCCGGCCGATAGCTGCTACCTTGACGTGGTGGTCGGGCTTGCATATCGCAATGACCCAGCGAGTTACACTAGCTGGAACTTATGTTCCTGTAGGTCTTACCATGCCAGAAGGGTTGTTTGAATAGCGGTTAGACAAAAAGCAGCTACCCAATCCAATACTATGATTCAAACAAATTCACAAAATATCATGCCGGATCGGTCGAGGCCCGGACTAACAACGACCGCGCTTCCTGCTGCCGTATCACAGGGCAGAAGTGATAAATATGCTACTGAGACACACCAAACAAAAACAGGTCGCGTGTGACCGGCCTCAAGCAGTTGTCCCCTGGGTTCTGCGGTCACGCAACACTAACCTTTTCCCTATTTCAGGTACCAGAAGAATCAATTAACTTCCACGGTGTGGGCAGCCGGGAAGTAACAACCGCCCACACACTTCCAAAAGCACACGAAGCCTACCTGAGCATCACTCACTCATTTCATTTTGTTTTCTCTTATTTAAAAGATATTCTATAAGAACTAATTGCCTCACTCATCTTTTTTTTTCCAGTCAGTACAAAGTGAAGTGACGTCTTCGGTGACACCTTTTGTACGCCTTCTAAATGCTTTAATTAATTTTGAAGACTTCTACACTAAAAGTCAAACAAACGATCTTACTGAGATAATCAATATGTGCCGATCGTGTGATCATAAACATAGACCAAATTATAAAGCCAGTCGTTTAAAGTTTTCAGTCGGACTTTGTTCGTATCTCAGTTGTGTTGATATTTTTTACTGGTCTCCTGGTTCACGGGAAATTGCCTTCGAAATTGCTTTAGCTTGGGGGAAATTACTAACAGATCGATATGCAAATGAAGAAGCTGGTGTACGACAGGGTACTTGTCGTAGTAATTTAGCACCACAATCATTCGGTGTAATTGAAAATTGGGTTGAATACTTATCTATGGGTAAATTGAGTTCGAAAGCTTCAAGATTCATCCAAATAGAACCAGAACAACCTATTTTCTCTGAAGAAGTAAGTTACAACTTTAGTAATTATATATATGTGTGCAAATGACTTTTTCTTAGTGAATTATGCACTTGGCTTGTGGTTATTTTGATTTTCATATCACCTACTCCATCCAGGGAAAGTGGGTAGTGTCGTCAGTCCTCACTGACGTCATAACCTGATCCGTGCGACTGGTTTCTGATCATCCAGTGAAATGGTACTCTGAGGATGAAAACCCAAAACACATGAAGAGATGTTAAATCAGATATGCTTTAAAAACAGTTTACATCTTAACTTACCTTACAACAATCCTCGGAGAGTTGTAAGGGTTTTTGCATGGATGAAAATCCACAATTTCCAGCAATTCTAAGGAAGCACCATGTGATCAGTCTTAAGCAGTTTCTCACTGAGATCTGCGGTCATCGCCTTCCTCGACGGGCAATGTTAGTTGATATAGGGCCAGGCTGGAAAAGAGCTAGCTAGTGGTGGTCAAACCAAAACATGGCACCAGTCAATGAAATTCACAACAATTAGTCTAAGCCAGCCACGTAGGAAGGTGTAGACTGGCTTCCTGACTGGTTGGGGTCCTCGGGACGGTAAAAACCAATGGTTGGAAACAATTGGTGACTTGACTCAAAATCGTTCTCAGTGGCGCAGATGCATCCACTCCTTGTCACTCATGATTTCCAATGAAACTGTTTTGTTCTTCGTTATTACTATTCCTTTGTCTCACACCTCTGTTTACTGTCTCTATTATGCATTTCTATTGCTTTTGTGGGCTACAAGGAGGGTGTGTGGTGACTTGAACTTCCGCACATATGTGCAAAGTTCTATGTCGAAACCCGACCGACCGCGGTCACACAAAAATTCTTTCACCTTGCGGAGGGAGAAATCAACTTCCACAGTATGAGCAGCGTGGAGGTATCCAATATCTACACGTTCCCGCAAACGTAATTGTTTCTTTCATTCATCTGCCTACTGCTAATAATGTAACAACAGAAGGCAAGATACTGAGGCCGAGGTATATTTTTCATTAATCAAACCGCTGTTTATATTCGTTAACCAATAACTGGGCGTGTGATTTGGGTTTACATTAAATGACATGAAATAGAATGTTCAAATGCATATATAGTATTCTGTTGCTAATGCCGTATTGAACTGTATGAATATGTGAAAATCATATTCCGTTGGAACACATTGTCTGTATCACACCACCAATACATCCTCTTTATTTTATCTTAAGTCCGTGACCACTAAAAGCGACTTAGTTCAAAGGGAAGACGTTTTTAGCTACTTCAAATAGAATTATCAACTTCATATCAAAGATTTCAACGTCAGAATGTCCATCATGAGAAAATCTGACACAGTGTTCAGTATTTGCTGTGAAAGCTGTAGTGAAGACAAGTTTTAATTTACCGCGAAAGTTTTAGTGAACACTAATACAGCAAGACTGTAGCATTGTGGTTGATATTCCGAAGGTGCTTGCAGATGACAGCTGCGAATATTGAAGGATAACAGGAGATAAAGAGGTAGACAAATAAAGGCACTAGCAATAGATGGTAATAGTCGTCAAGTAAGAAAAACTCATGAGAAACACGCGGAACACTGAGAATTAGTTCAACTGGCCTAGATCAACTTCAAGGTTGCCCACCATTCAACACCAACCTCAGTTCACTGAAATTGTAAAAACTATAGTTTTTTCTCCTAATTTGTTTGCATTCCTACTGGGACATAAGGCTTCATACTTTAAGCTTTGAAGTTTCCGTAATATTTGTGATGCTTTTGCAGGATGAGTTTGTTAGTCTTATACTCGACGTCCTCCCGTTACTGGGCTCACTACTGGCTAGGAGTGTGTCGGCTGGGAATCGAACCCTGGGACACGTGTGGCGATTAATTTTTGCTCGTAGAGCAAAATAAATATTATTGTTTGAAATAAAGTGACTGGGTTATTATTATTATTAATATTATATTTTGAAACGTTGACCGGAATGAACCAGATGGCTAGTTTCGCATATGCCAGTTTACGCCGTCTCTGGCGTAGACGTGACATCCGACTATCGACCGAAGGGCGTGTGTACTGCTCAACAGTCCGCTCCGTCCTCCTTTATGGCTGTGAGACCTGGCCATTGAGAGCAGGAGACATGAAAAGATTAGCTGTCTTCGATCATAGGTGTCTGCGTTCTATCTCCCGTGTGAAGTGGTATAATAAGGTGAGCAATATGGAGGTTAGGCGTCGAGTGCTAGGTAAGGAGGGGAAATCAATAGACGAAGCTGTGAAATTACATCGACTGAGATGGTTAGAACGTGTTACGTATGCCTAGTCATCGCCTTCCTCGACAACAGGCAACGTTAGCTGATATAGGGTCAGACTGGAAAAGAGCTAGCTAGCACCAGTCAATGAAATCTACAACAGTTAGTGTAAGCCAGCCACGTAGGAAGGTGTAGACTGGCTTCCTGACTGGTTGGGGTCCTCGGGACGGTAAAAACCAATGAAGGGTGGAAACAACTGGTGACATGGCTCAAAATTGTTCTCAGTGGCGCAGATGCATCCACTCCTTGTCACTGACTTATGATTTCAAATGAAACTGTTTTGTTCTTCGTTATTACTATTCCTTTGTCTCACACCTCTGTTTACTGTCTCTCTCTAATATGCATTTCTCCTACTTTGTTCTCTTGCTTTGTGTGCTACATGGAGGGAGTGTGGCGACTTGAGCTGCCGCACATATGTGCAAAGTTCTATGTTGAAAATAGACAACAGACAATCAACCAGGTCACGGTTAGATAGTGATAATCTTAAGATTGTTTATTCTGAATATGCTGCATAACATGTGGTGTAGAATATCTTTTAACCATAGAAACTAAGTGTTATATAGTAACCGAAGTAATAAGTTCCTAACGATTATTGTAAGTGTAGAGTTTGGGCATTGTAGGATAGTATATGATTTCAAATCCCATAAGTTTGATTGTAAAACACAATAAAATAGTATTGACAACTACATGGCTTGCCCTATGCAGCCTTACTCTGACCTGTTTTTATTACAATTTTCCATATATCCAGTATAGACGTCGCGTCATTTTGACTGCACATGTTCGGTGTGTTGTTTTGATGAACAAAGACTCTGTGATTAACCCCCCCCCCCGTCTCTGTGTCTCTCTTCATCTAAATAATATTGACCGACTGGTTTCAACATAGAACTTTGCACAGAAGTGCAGCATTTCGAGTTACCGCACTCCATGTAGCACACAAAGGGCGATAAAAGAAAGGGAAATGATATTCAAGAAGACGATAATAAGCAGAAATATGAGGCAGAAAGCATACTAACGTGTAAAAAGCAATTGGGTTTCTTTTGATTATGACAAATCACAAAGTGATCTCATTTGAACCATTGAGAAAGATTTTAAGCCATATCACCAATTGTCTCTATCCATTGGTTCTTAGAATACTGAGGATCTTAGAATCCCACCCCGCCCAACCAGGCCGTGTCGTTACATGGCTCAAACTGACTGTTTAAAGACTTCATGTACTGATGCCATGTTTTCGTTTGACCTTTATCCTATCCTATATCAGCTAACATTACTCGTCGGTCGAGGAAGGCGACGGCCAGACAGGCATATCTTGCACATATCCTAATCCTCTCAATCGATATAACTTCACAACGTCGTCGCTTGATTTCTTCTCTTCCTTAGCTAACACTCGACGGCCTATCTTAACCTAGTGTGTTATTACATATAAGTGAATGCTCTACAATGGCAAACTGTTTTCCATTGATATGAGCAAAAATAAATTATGGTCGAAATGTAATCCAGCTGTCAATACTATTTTATAATTAAATAAACTTATCTAATGTAGAAGTTTTTAACTCCGTTATGGATAAGATTTTTATTTTGATAAGTCACACAGGCGAAGAGCAAAATAAAAATAATTGTAAAACTAGTAGTGATAACGTAAATAAGAGAGAATATATGTCTTCTACTGTTATACCACATAAGGAGGGGACATCTGAGACCCTACGTAGGATTCTCAATAAAGCAGGAATTAGGGTGGCATTCAAACCTACAAACTCACACACAGGAGGTCAGTCGCGAGCCTGAATAGCTCAGTGGTAACGTCTGACTGCAGCATTGGGTGACGCGGGTTCGAATCTCACAAAAAGGACATCGGTTCCTTCAAGGTTGTAGATACGCCTTGCTGATGAGTGCCAACTAGCACGAAACCTAGGTCCAAGGCTTCCTTTGGCCGATTGCTTCCAACCACCTAACATCACTCAGAGACAAGCTCTGTAGGCTAAAAGACCCGTTGGACCCAATTAAACAAAGTAATGTAATTTACAAAATACCCTGCAATGACTCTGAGGTCAAACTAGTAGATCGGGGGTAATCAGATTGTCAAAGATAAGTAATTTTAAAAAAAGCTCAGCAATTGCACAATATGCATTAACACACAACTACACAATAGGGTGGGACAGGGTTAAGATTCTAAGAAGTAATTTATGTAGGTGGAGAGAGATTGATTACTGAATCCTGACTGGTTCATCAAGTCTACACCCAACACATGCAACAGAAATGACTCAATGCAAATACCAGAAATATGGAAGATACTATCACCACCAGTCAGTCAAATCAGAGGAGGATAATAAATAATCTTAAAATTCTATTTCAATTCAAGTACATCACAACATTCTAACTAGTTACTTATTATGACTATAAAAACACTCGTCTTATTTCCCATCTAATTGTAATTGATCAATAACATTCATATTATTATTATTTCTGAATGTACATTATCCCATATTGATTTTTATTTAAATATCTAGTCAATTCCACACATAGAAAAAATCCCCATTTAACCATTTAGAAAACAGAAAGATTGAGCGAAGAAATATTTACTTTTCAATTAGATCCTCACCTCTGGCTCTACTCTAATATACATATAGCATTTTTATTACTATACACAACAGTTTACCAAACAAGTGGCACTGATATGTTTGTTAACAATAATTAAACAGTGTCAAAATGTCAATGGGTTGATAATTAACGAAGAAAATCAATACACATTTAAAAGGTAGAAATGGGTAGAATAAATTAATTTTACAAGGATAACACGTAATTAAAGGTGAAGTGGTCAAAATAAATGAAAATAAAATAATTTGGACAATTATAGTTTTTAAAGGTTTAGGGGGAGGGGGGCGACGTAATCCTGTTTATGCATTCTTCTAGAGATGGCGACGGTAAGGAAAGTGGCTGTACAAATTTCTTCTGAACACATAGGCTTGGCTTCTTAAGGTGGATTCCGATTGCTTCAGCTGTCTGTAGAGGACGAACTCGTAGAGCAAAATTAAGATTAGTTGGAATGCGATAAATTATTTTAAATGCAGTATTAACATCAACCTTATGCTCAGTATCAACAAGGTGTGCTAAAATAGAACTTCGAATAGATCTTGTTTGTCGTCCCTTGCTTAACCATGTTGGATGATGTTCGGAAATACGACGATGAACCTGCCTAATTGTACGCCCAATGTATCTAGCTCCGCAGCTGCAGTGTATTGTAATAAAAATGCTATATGTATATTAGAGTAGAGCCAGAGGTGAGGATCTAATTGAAAAGTAAATATTTCTTCGCTCAATCTTTCTGTTTTCTAAATTCCACTGATGTATATAAATGAAGGAAAAAAGTTGTGTGAGTGACTTGATATGATTATGAGTGGCAATAGTTTGTGCTCGAAACGTGGTCGCATCAGTTAATATTACTGTATAACACCACTGTGTGATTTATCAAAATAAAATCTTATCCATGATGGAGGTATACTCTACCACCACAGTGCCCAAGTTTTATCCTTAAATCAATAGAAGTTTTTTAAGCCATTACCAAGATGCATCCCGACCGATAACTGCTACCTTGCCGTGGTGGTCTGGCTTGAATGCCGCAGTGACCCAACAAGCTCAACTGGCTGGGGCTCATGTCCCTGCAGGTCCTACCATGTCAGGAAGGTTGTTTGGATAGCGGTTAGACTAAAAGCAGTTACCATGGGGTACATGGGCTCCAGAATTCAATCGGATCAAATGGCGTATGAACCCATATGGGTCACCGGCAACCATGGGAACGCAGCTCCTGACGCTGCTCCGCTGCCTTGCGGATTAAACTCCAAGTCAAAGGCTCGGGGGTGGTCCCTTAGGAAAACCACCTGCTTCGGTCTGGGCGCCCGGGCAGTATCTCAGCCCTCACACAATATTGTGTGACGCATCTTTCTTGGTGCCATATTGTACCAAGTTTTTCTGCGTTTAAATAAATACCAAGATGCCTATTGTATTTTCCCTTGTAGACTAATTCACCACTTGATGCTAACATTCCTAAATTATATACAACAAAAGAAATTGTCATTGTAAAAGATCCTGAAACAGATCCAGATTCAAATGATCATTATTCCAACAATCCGAATATCAGACATAATAAATCAATAACATTAATTATCAATACAGGTGAATCCTTGTCAGCTGAAAAACAATCAATTATGATGAATACAAATCCGGAATTGTATACACTAAGCGAAGTATGGAGATCAGTTGTCGATGAACGGCGGAAATCTGCAAATACTATTGTCTATCAAATTGATAATGAATCACTTGATCAGGTTATTGAATCGTTGAATCAATTCTGGGGAAATCATAAATGTACAGTGTGCTGTGGTGAAGCTGTCAGTCAGCATTGAACACTCTGTGCATTGATGAATGTGTGTAATCTTTTTGTTTAATTCTCATAATAATAATAATAATGACAGAGTTATAACCAAAGAAATAGGATGTTTACTATTCTTTTTTTTATATAACAAAATAGCTTAGTTTGTATTTTATTTTTATAATATATATGTATATTTATACGTTTTTATCTGTTGGTTCCTTTGGGTTTTTATTTTAATTATTAGTATTCATTTTATGTTTATTTTTCGTTTATAAATATATTTCTTGTTTTTCCCTAATCTGTATCTGAATAAAGATACTTGATTAGAGTATGTATGTGGGGGTAGATCGGCTGCCGACACAGTAGTTCCGTCGGGCTGGTGTAACTACTACTACTACTACTAATTTGCTGTACTCCAGAAACAGTACTATTGGTACAGTGTGGAATTTTCAGCACATATCTACAATATTTGCATCTAATTTTATACAACGTTTAAAAGGAGTATTTCAAAAATAAATAAATATAAAGACAACAACAGCAAAAAAACAATAGTGGAAGCTATGATATGATTATGCATGGTGACAGTAAAGCTGTAGTCATACAAGAAGTTATGAAATGATATTTGAGAATGTTTATCGCCAAGAAGATCAGTTAATTTGGTTGAAACAACACTAAACAATCATAAAATAACATTTCAGGGTTGTTGTTTTGTTTTTTTGTTGTTGTCAGGTCTAATGCAGTGTTTGTAGTGGTAGTGTGAGTAATCCTGTATAAAACAACCACGAAAACTAATAATTACATGGTGGTTAATGACAGGACAATTTTGTAATACTCATAGTGTAAAAATAGTCGGGACCAGTAGATACGCGAAAGAAGGAATAGAGTAAACTACAAGAAAGTAAGCCAATGTTAATAATTTAGGTAGCTAAGTATGTTTAAGAAGGAGTTCACTATAGAATACAAAATAAGAGAGAAATAAAAGAGCCTAAAATTATGATTATTAACAACAAAGCAAGTCATAGGTTTCACACTTAACATTGTCTCTGTCACTTAGAACACGGGCCAAGTATGGTATCGTTGAGTTCCTGTACTTGGTTGTACGAGCATAGATTATTTTATACTGATTTCTGTTTCATTGTGCGTCAGTGGCATAGCGGTTAGGACGCTCGCCGACCATGCACATGGTCCGGGGTTCGATCCCCGGCCGGCGCACTGCTTTACCTCGCTAAGCCAGAACTAAAAGCTGGTGAAGTGGAAAGGTTGGGCATGTGACTAGTAACCTTAATCTATAAAAATAAAAACTGCTACAGAAACTTCAAGCCACAAGCTTGAAGCCCTTATGTTCCACTTGGAACTCGAAGGAAGAAAGAAAAAAAGATTTCTGGTTCTACTTGATGACATACAATGTGAGAGTTGGGAATAGAGGGGATGTTGGAGGTGGGATAGTATGGTTTTAGACCATTTTTCGCATGTATTCAGATGCCTATCAACTAATGTAGGGACGAGCTGACTGAGTTTTACACCACTAGTCCTACTAACAACCTTCAACATTCTTCTTAATATGATATAGTCCTTTTTCAGTAGCCCAGGAAAGACTAACGGGGAGCAGTAAAGTAGAATAGGCAAGATACAAGAGTTGACAAATTGTGAAAGTAGAGGTTGGGTGATTCCAGATTGTCTTAGTTTCTTAATGTAGTAGGTTAGACAGAACACTTTCTTAGAAATCGTTAGGATATGAGATGACGAAGTAAGCTCGGAAGATAGAACTAGACCGAGGTATTTTGCATTAGACTTAGTTTCAATTTTAGTCCCCTCAATGCAACAGGCTTCATGAGTACTTACTAGTGTTCGTAGATCTCGTTTATGCCTAAGGGAGAAGTCAATAGTCTGGCATTTTGAGGTAAGTTGTGTAAGTACCTTGATATGATTTACGAATGGTAATAAATATTGCTCGAGACGTTATCAGTAAGTGATACTGTGGAACTGTATCAAATAAATTTTACTGTATGGTAGAATTACACTGTATCACTGCAGTGATTAAGTTCTGTTCTTAAATCGAAGAAATTGAATATTTCATATATCTATATTACTTTGCTGTATCGCTACTATAAAAAGACTACGACGACTCCTACATGTCTATAAAGTGTTCAAATTTATGAAAATATGGTTATCTGTGAAATAAGAATTATACAGGGTATTTAAAAGATATTAGACCAACCTAACAATCAATTAACACAGAGCTCCTGAATCAGATCTCGTACTTACTGGTCGCGAAAAGTTTCATGATTCAATTCTGCATCGATTAGTCCCGAAATCAGCGCATTTATCACTTATTGATAAACTACAAAACTAAGCCGATTCGAATACTTTTAAATATATTTGAGAGGGTAAATATACCATTGTGGTAATGTGTTCCGTGGGTGCTCAATAGGATGAGCCTCAACCCGATAGCTGCTACCTGCTCGACATAGTAGTCGAGCTTTCGTGTCACAGTGACCCAAAGAGCCAGACTTGTTAAAGCTTATGTTTTAACAGACCATACTATCCCAGGAAGATCGCTTGAATCGTGGTTAGCGCCAAAGCAGTTACCATCATAGTATAAGTCGTTTACACTATATCAAGGGTCTGTCGGCGAAATCATATTGCTGGAGGTCGGGGATGAAATAGCAACTCAGATAGGCCATGTGTAACAGGCGTCAGGCAGTTGTCGCCTCGGTGATACGATCATGCGACACCAATAAGAAGTCAACTCATACAGTGTCGGTAGCAAGGGAGTTATGACTGGCCACGTATTGTCTTAAGCACACACACACAAAACTACTCTGATCACTACAAATAACTGAATAGTTACCAACGATGAGGAATCTGAGCAATAAGCTTGTATGCAGGTGAATTTTACTAGATTTAGTTGACAGTAGACAAATTTCGAGAACCTTTGACAATGTTAGTATCACGCTGAAATACGTATTTAAGTGAAACAGTCTTCATTATTATTATTGTACCCTTGGGTTCCTAGTGGAACATAGGGCTTCAACTGCACGTTTCCACTTGCTTCTCTCTCTTCTGCTGTACTTTTCACTTGCATCCATGTTAATCCATACTATTTCAACTCCTCTTCACACGATCTCCTCCATGTCACCCTTCGACGTCCCACTCGCCGCTTCCCTTTCGGGTTCCACTCGAGCTATGGCCCGACTGACGCGCGATGTCACCCAGCGGCCTCCTCAGCGATTGTCCAATCCATCTCCACTTATTTCTCCTGCATATTTGTTGGGCGATTGGTTCTTGTTTTGTTTCTTCCCATAGTTTCTTGTTGGTTCTTGTTCTTTCCGGCGATCTGATATTGAGTATCGAGCGAAGAAAGTTGTTGATAAAGGTGTGCAACAGTCTGTTGGAAATATTCTTGGTGACCCGCCGTCAAGTTTCTGATCCATCCGTATAGAAAAGCTGACTGACTTGACGTTTGTATCGAAAATCCGAATCATTTTGTTGTTGATGCTGAGTGAGTGACGAATATTTCCAGATTGGTTTCTGGCTGATGAATATGTTTCTCGCCTTCCCGATTCTCGATTTGACATCCTCGTCCGTTCCTCGTGTAGTTGAGACAATGCTCCCTCCCTAGATAAGTGAATGAAGTAACCTCTTTCATCAAATCCCTCCCGTTGATGGTGATTGGCGGTGGATTTCGCTGCTGTTGTTGTTGGTTGGTTATTTTCATAACCTCTATGTCCACCTGGAGTCCTATCTTTGCTGCTTCTTCGACCAGTTTGTCTGTTTTCGCTTGTAAGTCTTCGATTTTGTGTGACATCAAACATAAATCATTCACGCGCGAAATCTAGGTCTCCTAGGTTGTTCACGTCGGTCCAGCATATCCCTGTCTTCTCGTCTCCCACTGTCAAAACAGTCTTCATAGTTCACTTAATTTGAAGTATTTTACAAGATTTCTATTTGTAAAATATTTTATCCAGACAAGAGACTAACAAACTTACTACAATATGGGCACTAAGAGATGAGTCACACTATTTTATTGAAGTAATTTGGTGGATAGCAGTGGGGTGCATTTCGTCCTATTCGAGACTCATTAGCTGGATGTACCGGCACTCGCCAGTGAGTGATGGTTCATTCCATCAAAATTGCACTAGAAACAAATAATAATATTCGACACCCGTTGTACAAGAGATGACTCATTGGATAAGGCTTTGGCGTTTGAAACGATGGTTCCAGCCTCAGTAGGATTATCATCACTCATTGGTGAATGCAGGTAAATCCAGGTGATGAATCCCGAGTAGGATGAAATACTCACTCTGGATCCCACTGCTAGTGATCATCCACTGAATTACTTTAAGCCGATTCTCAGACATCGTTGAAGTGTGTCCATACTAGAAGCCGACATGTCAGCACAGGGCCAAACATTTTGGTCAAATCAATCAACGACAAAATCAAAGTGAAATTAAAAATAACATAATACAACTTTATGTTTAAAAAAAAGTAGACTGACTGAGTTTCAAGATAGAACATCGAATAGAAGTGTAGTACTTCAAGTTACCACATTCATTCTATGTAGCCGAAGAATGTGACGAAATAGATCCGAAAGAACCATAATAATAAGCGGCGACGTGCACGAGAAGGAATTAATAACATGGCGATTTAGTGGTGGAAATGAAAAATCAAAGAGAGTGAATGCAACTGCGCATCACTTTATGCTTAACAATAATAATAACAATTAAACAAGATGGAATTTTCAGCTTTTCACATATATTGCGACAGTTTATCTTCTTTTACAAATAAAATGGTGGTAAGATGATTAAATCTCAAAAACTGACAGTTTATCGAAGAATCATATACACCTAACCGAAGCTATGGGAATTAGTTCCAGAGAGTACAATCCTAGTTTCTTTGCTTACAACAAAAGAAGTTTGTTCTACCTTTTTTTCTCACCATCGGTCTCAGTAAAGTCTGATTAAAACCCTTTCTTATTTTCCATTTCCTTCGTATTTTAATGCTATTTATTTAAACTCTGATTATCTGTCCACTTCACCTAGCCTTAGTAATACGTAACTTTTAAGATTTAACCTAATTTATTCAATGAGTTGTCTACATATACACATTTCACTCACTACCTTCGTTATTCTTATCGCCACCTGCATAAACCTTATTATCATCGTTATTACTGACGTTCAAAACAATTACCACATTATTATTATTTGATCCGCAAACTCAACGCCATTGGTTAAAAATTTTTGATATATAAATCTACGTAAATTAGAGTAAAGCCTGAAGAAGACCTAATTGAAAACGACAATACTGTTCGCATATATGTCTCGTCAAATTTCCGAACATCACCCTGCCTGCTTAAGCAAAGGACAAACAAAATCTATTCACACCGCTATTCTGTCTCATCTTGTGGAGACAGAACACAAGATTGACGTTAATCATACCTTCAGGGTCATTTACCGCATAGCTACGAATCTCAATTTTGCTTTAAGAGTTCAACTTCTAAATATTGCTGAGGCTGTTGGGATCCGTATTAAGAAGCCTAATTTGTGCATCCAAAAGAAGTTAGTTAGTTCAGTCATTATCATTACCTTGGCCATCCAGGTTTGAATAATTCGGAATTTTTGTGGAATTTCCCTAATTTTAATTGGTATTCTATTCGCTATTATATCTTTATTATTATTATTTAAGCATCTTCAATGAACTGTGGTAATTCCACTGTGATTTTACTTTACAAATCGATATTATTTAAAAAACAATAATATTGTTATTGACTACTATTCTAGAATATTCTGTGTATATAAACAAATATATAATTGTAGAGCCGGAAGAGGAATTTATCGAAAAGGATATTCTTTGCTCGATTATTTTGTGTTTTATAGATGTCTGAATGAATACTTTTGCAATATTGGTATTAATAAAATGATGTCTACTTATGGATTATGAAACAGGTTTATAATCTCTTTTATAACATTTGTCTGCTCACATAACACGCCCACGCTAAATATGGTACGGTTAAATTTTTATATATTTAGCAAACGTACGAGTATAAATTCCTATGAAAATTCTTCTGGTTCTACCCGAACACATACAATGAGAAAGTTGCCAATAACATAGACGATGTTCAGTATCCAACAAGAGAACTACAAAGAATTGATCGATCGTAGGAATTTTTTGAGTACTTCTACAAATACAAATTTCGACTGGAACATCATCCATTTCAGTAGATAATACTCTATGAATCACACTGTGATTATTACGTTGGTGGTCCAGTGGTTGAAAGTTTGCAAGCTATACAAAGAAGCGGTTAGCGTTTAATTTCCGGCCTACAAACTCCTTAATCTCTCACAACCGGTAGTCAGCTCTGGAAGGAGAGTGGATGGAGCGTGAGAGGCTAGTGGCCTCAATCGGTAAAAGCAACATCATTGCTACAGAAACTTAAATGCCTGAAGTCTTATATTCTGCTCAGAATGCAACATTAAATAAAAAGAGCAATCGTACCACACTTTAGGTGTGCATATTTGTCTGTAAGGCGTCCCGACCGACAGCTGTTACCTTGACGTGGTGGTCGGGCTTGCATATCGCAATGACCCAACGAGCTACACTGGCTGGAAATTATGTTCCTGTAGGTCCTACCATGCCAGAAAGGTTGTTTGGATAGCGGTTAGACAGAAAGCAGCTACCCAATCCAATACTATTGTGGTGAGAGCTGGCTGTTAGCCAAAGTTGGTAGACAGTAATTGACGTTAATGTTTATGTCCCCAATATTGGTGGTGAGAAAATGAGAACAAAGGCTTTGCGTAGGCGGATACAGTTAGCATATGGATGATCTGACACAGCCACAAAGAGATGCAAGGTTAACTTTCTGTGAGAAACAGCCAATCAAAAGACAGTATTTTCTACTAAAAATAATCTACAATAATGTACATTAAAATCTATAAATATATGTTGATTTTCCCTAATAAACGATCTGCTGCCTGGCCCTTGTCTTCTGTTGTTACACTATGACTCAAAGTAAATCACAAAATATCATGCCGGATCGGTCGGAGCCCGGATTAACCACGACCGCGCTTCCTGCTGCCGTGTCACAGGGCAGAAGTGATAAATATGCTACTGAGACACACCAAATAAAAAAGAACAAACAAAAACAGGCCGTGTGTGACCGGCCTCAAGCAGCTGTCCCCTGGGCTCAGCGGTCAGGTCACGCAACCAACTTCCACGGTGTGGGCAGCCGGGAAGTAACAATCGCCCTCACAATCCAGACAGACAGAACATAAGGCTTCAAGCTAGAGCTGTAAAGTTTCATTAACAGTGATGCTATTTCTTACGGTGTGTGGCACTGCTAGCCTCACCTAGACCAATTTTCCCTCTTTACCGGGGGCTTTCTACTAGAGCTAGCTATACAAGGGGTAAAGGAGTGCGTCAGTAGTCAGGGATCAAACTCCGGACCAATTGCGTTGTCGGCCAATGTTCTACCACGACTTAACCATCAAGGCTACTTTTATTTACTTTAATCAGGATCATAACAATGAATATATATACACACATACATACATACATACAACAGAATCAACTGCTCACAAGGAAAAACAGAATATACTACTACTTACACATAACAATAATTGAATGCAGTACGAAATGGTATACAATACAATATGCCGGTATAAAGACAGATCGAACAAGATTGTGTGAACGTGTATGCGATAAAAGAAAAGATTGAATGCTAACAGCAAAAAATGGCTTTACAAAACACGCACAGTACACTACTATTACTATACAATTTGCAGCGGGGGGGGGCGAGGGCGGAAGGAAGCTAACAACGGAATATTACAAATGTTTTTAAACAATTAAAGACGATGATAACAAATGCAAAAATGGAGAGTTTATTTTTCAAAAAAAAAAACATTGAAGAAAAAGATTTAATATGGTACAACTCTTCGACCGTTTACTTTGTAACTACTACTACCGCTAGTACTACGTTCTTCACCGGTTGACAGTTTATCATACAACCTTTTATCATAATCTCGTGACTCTTTATCACCACCTCCACCACGGCTGAGATGATCTCGACTTTTTAATGTTGTGACATCGCCATTATCAATAATATCCATTTGTCGACGACGGTATTGATCAGAATGATCATAATATTTTTCATCTGAACGACGATTTTTAAGCATAACTGGCTGTTGTTGTTGTTGTTGTTGTAAGGATGGTTTAATAGCACGACGATTTGGCGGCTCCAATGATGATAAGGGTGTATCTTTAAACATATAGGCATTATTATTAGTAGTAGTAATAGTTGTATTATGGACATCAATCGCTGACGGGTGAGGAAGTGTAATCGCAACATCGATCATATCACCAATTGTAAATTGAACATCCTATAGGAAATGTAAAATGAAGAAAATACTGAATATATACATATATAATTCAATCTGTACTTAACAAAGAACCAGACACATGACGTCAGTGACTACCCAGTGCTTCTTCTTTCTTTTTCTTTGCTTCGGCTATCTCCTACGGGAGGATGAGCCGGCTTCATGAACATCTCGAATCATCGCTGCCCAGGCGCGGCGATAGAGTCGTTTGTAAGAGAGTTCATGAAGTTTCATGGGAATTTGGTACGAGTGATGTCCCCAGAATCGCTCGGCCTTTTGTCTGAGAGTGCAGCTCTAGCCTTTACACAACCAAGTGTGACCTACAAGGCAGTAGGAGTGGAGTAGGGAGTCCACTATCCATTGGCAGCCGGAGACCGGAGTTCCGTTCATACGCCTTTATGAATGGGGCCAGACATCCAGGACATCCAACAAGCCCTTTGTCCATACGTCTGCCGGTGAGCTCCAGTGAGCTTCATACGCCAGTCGTTGTAGGTTTGGAATCAGGGTTTAGCCATCTCCTCTAGACTGTCATCCAATGGACAGTCAACCCGGTGAAGAGCGCCGGGCATTCGCTTTCGCCCTCTCACTTTGGTGAAAAACACCTCCGCCACGTGAAGGCAGTGAGTAGGACTTGCTCAGGAGAGGCTATGTAAGACGCCCGGTCATATGGGAGCATTTCAAGAGGTGTGCGGAGAGGTGGCCAACCCGCAGCGCAAGGCACCCACCCCCGACCATCCTAGTTCCCAGTCAAAGTATTCATTACACTCCTACAGAAGGTCAAGTGCACGCCCAAATAGCTTAGCTTGGTGGTGAAGTCTTTGATTGCAGCACTGGGTAATCCGGATTTAAAACTCAGAAGAAGATAGCAGAAACGCCTTGTTCATAAAGGTGTCAACGAGCACCAAACCTTAGTTAAGCAGTGCTTCCTGCAGATTGCTTCTAACCATATATTTATATATATATATATATATATAACAATAATGCAGAGTGTACTGTGACGATGAACCATCTAGCATAATGGCTACATTGCACATTTGACTGAACATCATCCAGCGTGGTTAAGCAAGGGAGGACAAACAAAATCTATTCGTAGTTCTATTTTACCACACCTTGTTGATACTGAGCACAAGGTTGATGTGAATACTGCATTTAAAATTATTTATCGCATTCCGACTAATCTTAACTTTGCTCTACGAGTTCGTCTTCTACATACCACAGCTGAAGCAATCGGAATCCACCTAAAGAAGCCAAGCCTATGTGTTCAGAAGAAATGTGTACAGCCACTTCCCTTACCGTGGCCATCTCTAGAAGGATGCATAAACAGGTCTAGGTCGCCCCCCTCCCCCTAAACCTTTAAAAACTATAAAAAAAACTATAATTGTCCAAATTGTTTTATTTTTGTTTTGACCACTTCATGTTTAATTAAGTGTTATCCTAGTAACATTAATTTATTCTATCCATTTCTACCTTTTAAATGTGTGCTGATTTTTTTTTCGTTAATTATCAACCCATTGACATTTTGGCACTGTTTAATTATTGTTAACAAACATGTCACCGCTTGTTTGGTGAACTGTTGTGTATTGTAATAAAAATGCTATACATGTATTAGAGTAGAGCCAGAGATGAGGATCTAACTGAAAAGTAAATATTTCTTCGCTCAATCTTTCTGTTTTCCAAATGTCTAAATGGGGATATTTTCTATATTGATAGAATTCTGATGCTTACTCAAATGACTGGTTGCAGGACGAAGTTACCTGGAGTTCTAGTGAGAGAAGTCGTGGGGACCAGTGGGGTCCACTAGGTCGTGACTGAGGACAAATACTTGGCCATGACATTGTCTGGCGATCATGCTAAAATCACGAATTGGTAGAAGTTGGAATTCATGCACTGGCCACTGAGTCGCGTCTCAGTGACTGAATGGTCTACGAGCTTCCCTTGTAACTGGAAGGTCTTGGGGCTCAAAACCCAGTGGGTACATGCTGCTGATGAGTCCAAACCTAAGATGGAACAACTATCCATTACTGCTTGGTTTTCAGTGGTTTTCTAACTGATATCAATATGCGGTCAAAATCTTGATAGAATTCAGTCTGCACCAACACTAAGAACTATACTCAAGACATTGATTACTACCTGATGTTCAGTCGATATATATATATATATATATATAACGCCTATTACCTGTAAAAAATTTCTGCATTGTAGGATAGAGATTAATTATAATTATATTCCACTCCAACAGTTAGTGTAATCATGGGTAGTAATTTTACTTAAAAAATTATCAGTAAGCTATTGAAATATAATTATAATTAATTATGCATAACGCTTTATAAAAACCTGATATTGCTCGAACACATTCCTTATGTATCAGGCTTTAAGCCACGACCCTAACCCAACTGCCTAGGAGGCGGTGAGTTGATTAGGAACTTGAATCTAGGAGGCACTGACGACCGGAAGTTGAGCATTTAAACCAATGAACAACATCCAGCTCTGTCTCCCAGAGTTCCACGAATATGAATGATTCCTATCTTTGTAATATTATTACTTTCATATGCCCCCCATAAATGACCTGGTACGGCAAGAGTGGGCAAACTTCAGCCTTCCTTCTCAAAATTCCCCTATCTAGCCATGTGTTTATAACGTTTTCCAGGTAAATCCTATTCACTATCTTCACATGGTGGCGGGTGTTCCTCACAAAAGTGAAAGGACGAATTCGAACGTCAGGCTGTTATATAACCAGACTTGAGGACATGCATGTCTATCTTGAGGAGTGGAAAACCATGATTCCAAACCAGTGGTGAAAATGGAGGAGGCTCCACAATCCAAATAGATTGAAGTTATCGAAAAGAATATTCCATAACAGCATAGTCATCCAAGTGACAATAACAACAACAAAAAAAGCAAAACCCAACATATGAAGGACAAAACAACAACCCCATTCACCTTTAACATAATACGATCAGTGTCTGATGGACAACCAGAGCATACTGTACCCAATTCACGCATTCTGTACATTGGTGAACGATGATCTGGAAAAACCAGTGCAAAATCGAACAGTGTGCCTTTTCTACGTGATTCTGGATTGACTTGTTTTACTAGTGATGCCAGCTCCCTTAATGTTGCATCAAGCCTTTTGAAATATTGACAATAAAAATACCAAGAATAAAATAATTTAATTAGGAAAATTTGATAAAGTTAAGATTTAAAACAAGAATAAAATTTATCGTACTGAATATATGATAGATAACAAAATAGAATAGATGAACACTCTCATTGTACAGTTTTCAAACAATTAATTATGCTGAATAATCTCTTGGTTTCTACCTGTACTTCCTATGTGACTGACGGGGTTTTTCACGTAGAACTTTTCACAGAAGTGCAACAGTTCAAGTTGCCACACCTCATACATACATCTGTGCTACTGAGGACGATTTTAAGCCATATTGCTAACAGTTTCAAGTCATTGGTTCTCAGAGTCTCGAGGACCCCAACTAGACAGTCTAGAACTCCCTACGTAGCGTACAACGAAATAAGTCTTTCATGGTCCAGGTTATCAGCCAAGCCTATCCCTATAATTGTTGGTCACGCTACTTACTTGCTGAGGCAGATGGAACGGCATTTGATTCGTGACACAGTGACTGAAAGTCGAGTGCTTAATCCAATGAATCACTTTTCCACTAAGTCCTTTTAACCCCATCGGGGACCGAACCCAAGATATCAGGGCGCTAGGCAAGCTTGTTGACCATCCGGCCACTATAACACATGGCTCGAACTAACGGTCGAAGTCTTCATAAAATGATGTCAAGTTTTGATTTGACGACCCGTAATTTTTCTCCAACCTAATTCCATATGAATTAACATAGTTCAAAGAGGAAGGCAGTGGTTTAACATGCCCTTTCTATCCAGATTTAAATATACTGTTAAAATCGTTGTATACTACACTGCCTCGATTATTACATAGCGTTTAATTCTTACTAGATAACACGAATCTGCACTATTTAAGTGAAGTAAACAGAGTTAGCAAAAGGAGTTCAGAGAAAAATGCTTTCTATGGATTCAATATATACGAAAGAATATTTAGCATATATAAAACTGTCCGAGACTACAAATGGATACATGCTTCACCCAATACAACTGCACTATTGTAAAACCCATTTGACTTTTTGTATGGCCTTCAAGAGGATGCAAACTTGACTAGAACTTCACGCAGACACCCACAGTAGCACAATTTACCGCACTACTACTACTACAGGTTTCAGACTGCCTAGCTGAAACTTCTGAGACGCAAAACCTCAGTGACTGGAGTCTGATACTGATATGGTTGAAAATTGTTCTCAATGACCACTTTTTGCGATTAGCTAGATCCATTAAATCTGCATTATTCACTCCATGTAATTATTATTTGTTGCTCAATTTTCAAATCTTTTGTCTACTTCTATGTACTTTTGCGAAGTGAAGTAACGCAAAGTGCTCCACTGCTTTGCAAAGTTCTACGTGGAAATCCGGCATCCACGACAACATTTATCATGAAAATAAGAAGGATAGTTAAAATGGGGATCAAAAGATGACAGCCTTCTATACTATATTGTAACGGTTCAGTGTATCACAGTTCTGAAAATTACAAGCAAAATATATAGGAGGAATGTATTGACATCACAACAGACTTACACACTGTACGGAAGAGAAAATATTTTGATGAAGACTAATAAAGAACAACAAATTTGTAATGATACATATCGATTACAACAAGGTTGGCATGAAGTTTTCAAGCTATACGCCAAAGTCTGCTATCACTGATCTTATCATCTTGCAGGCGCAGGAGTGCATTTCACACATGTTACATATAATCGAGTACTAAATGCGCTGATTATTGTTTAAACCACTGATTATTCTTTTCCGACCTAATTTCACCCTAACACTTTTCATTGAGGACAGATTAAAGGAATGACACTACTGTAGGATGAAACTTGTCGTAAAAGCAACAATCATTTCGAATACTTAATTATTGCAGTAGCAAGATACATTTTGGGTGGGTTTTCTAACAGCAAGGAATTTTACTTAAAAAAAACAAAATTCTGAACTGTATTTTAGAGCTAGATAGTAGTGAAAATTTTGTAAGCTCTGCGTACTAATCAGAGACATAATGAACGCCTCCAGTGGAGTTTTTCAATCTATACAAGGTTATAAGTAGCCAATAACCCGGCTAGCATTGACTTCGGGAGTATTGCAGAATGTCTGGAGCAAACTTAGGGCAATTGTCCCACATTCTGCAATGCGCCCGAAGAAAATGTTAGCTGGTTTAAACCATTAACAGAGATCACTTCAGATCGCGATCTGAAGTGCTCTAACTTTCACCATATTTTAAGCAGTGGAAAACTTCAGCTAAGTACAGTAATCATAATTATTGATTTGGTACTGTTATCTGTTTATAATAATTATTCCAACAAGTCTTTTTACTAATAACAAACAAAGATGTCTTACCACGTATATACTTGGAGCTCATTGAGTGGTGTACGACCTCTTGAATATTCCAGAACGTTATTGTGTTTCTTTGTACTACAAAACATTCTTAACAACAAGGGGCACGTCTTCTCCCGATTCACACTGCCATCTTCCAATGCAGTCATCCTTATGGTTTAAAACCTACTTTCTAGGTCATTACTATGGTCGTTCAATAACCAATATCATTTTACAAGAGTTAATGTAAACAGATTTGACCTCTTTGTGCTCGATTCTTGGTTGTGAGGTAAAACTTACCAGTACTCGATAAACTTCTGCGTAGTTGACGCAGCTCCTTGACTGTCTTAGTTAATGTTAACTGCAAAAGAAGTAGTGCTGGAATTAATTATATGTAGTTTGGAGTATGTGGTGTGTTACGACCGTGTTGCTACTATGAATGAAGTCGGTCCTTCCACCTGGTGTGACCGACAAAAAGAGATAATAATAATGGACATAATTAGTGTAGGTTATGTAGACCAAAAGAGAAACAAAACGTAAACACAGGCAGCTAGCGAAATTTGAAATTAATATATATATATACATATATATAGTAAAGATATGTACATATATATGAACGTATAAATATCAATAATAATAATGTAATGGACGTAATATTTGGAGTGGTCAGGAGACTAAGACAAGAGAGAATGTGAAGAAGTAAAACGATGAGTTTAGATATATACCCACTAATAGTATGCGAGTATTCAGGGGATAAGCCGTTTGGACGCAGTCCTTGTGTCTCCGCGTGATTTTCCAGCCTTCGTTTAAAGCTGTCCACAAATGGTGCCGTAGCTACATCTGCCGGTAAGGAGTTCCAGGGACGCAAGCCAGCAGTGATAAGAATTGGGAGCGTACCCTACTCTTTGCCCTCTGATGAGCTAACCTTCTGGGGTTTCCGTGAAGAAGTATCTTTGTTTGAGTTATTCTAGGTATTTGTTATCTAATAGGCAGAAATCAAGTTCATCCTAAGCCGACGGTAGCTAAGTGTGAAGAGACTTAATTTCTTTAGCCATTCATCATATTGCTTTCTCTCGGAAATAAATCACCCCTAATGTCTCCCATCCTCGGACCATTTCCAGAAAGCTCGAGCCTCTTCTAAGCAGTGGGTTGCAATTATACTGTGTACTTCAATATGTAGTTTAACGTATTTTTGTACAATAAACAAGTGAAAACTTTTGTTATCTTGCTTTCATAAGCAGGGTTCAACGTCATACAAAGTTATCATCAGAGTCTGGCATTCGTAGTATCGGAAGAAATACACCTTCAAATTTTACGTATAAGATTATGGGACAGTTCATGTAAACCTTTAATAAATACTGTTCATGCACATGAGTTACTGTCCGGTAATCTTTGGGAAAAACAACTTTCTCCAAAAGATGTAAATAATACCTACTTTATTAGGAAAGTCACTGTATTTGGGTTGAAAGTAAGAACTCAGCAATGAAGTGATGCAGGTTTATGCATACTGTGAGCATCGATTCGGCTAATATTATGTATGAATTTTAGAATACTTGCCCAGCATCATCTTTCAGATAGTCTCTTGCAAATCAGCATTGAATTTTCTGTTTGAGAGACACCACATGTTTTTTTGTTTTCCTTCACATTCCCAGTGGAACATAGGGCTTCAAGCTAGAGTCTTGAAGTTTCTGTAGCAGTGTTTAATTTTTACGGGATGGGGTTGCTAGCCTCATGCCCAACCTTTCCTCTTTACCAGCATTATTTCTGACTTAGAGAGGTTAAGGAGTGAGTCGGCCGGGAATCGAACCCCACATTGTTAATAATTAACATAGCTGCAGAGATAAATAAATCCATCAATTCGTCAGCCTATAGCTTTATCAGTATTAGCCACTGTGTGCTTATCTCTACCGTTCTGGTTGACTGATTAGATTGATAACGATTACTGATTTATACTTCTCATCTGCTGAACAGCTGTATTTCTTCTGTGAAAATAAAGCTGAAGTGTTTTTCAGTTCTCCTACACAGTGTCACTATTACTGGCCCTAAGTGTTCGGAATCTACTGAAGAGAAAGTGTATCTGCCGCTCTCAACTCGAGCCGCCAGCATGGGTGTCACAGGGTGAAACCAGCTTAGCACTTCTTCTCCTACACTGCATACGACTTCCAATGACGTTCCTCATTGCTGCACCTCCTCAAAATACTCAAAACCTTTCTCTAACAGTTGCCAGTACCTGCGTGGCATACATATGCCTTTCCATGTCGTTTTAGTGTCTTAGAACCGACTGTACGGCATGTTATTTCGAAGTCGTTATCACCGGGTGTTCCTGTTCACCGGGCCAAGCAGGAATTTTCAGTCGACTGCCTGCACAAATCTAGCCATTTATAAAGATAGGATGGAGTTTACGCATAGGTGTGTTGAATTTCGTACTCCTGAACTACCAGATGTCATTAACTACTGAAGCAGATTCTTAAATTCTACCACTTAAACCATTCCAATGATGTCCCGACTAGCACATAATTCATCTATATTCAATTCTCCCAAATTAAGATATGAGTCGATTCTGTTAAGAAGCATTATGAGAATGTAGCATTTGAATCGAGCCAAGCTTTTTCCTTCAGCAACCTGGTCCAATCTGAGAAGTAACATGGAACACGACCTAAGTTAGAGTCACTAAAGGTGACATTTAGTGGTCTTGGTCTCTATTGGACTGTTTTCTGGTTCCATTGCTATGTCTGACGCCGTCCATTCAGCCTTAAGACGAGTCACAATGACCGGTCTTCTTTCCATACCTCAAGATATTTATCCTTAAAAGGCATCCCACGACAGAGGAAATCTGCAACGTTCTCCTCTGAGGGTAGATATCTCCAGTTCTTCTGTATGTCTAATACAAACCACTGCCCAATAAGCACTTCCAGAGGCGTCGCAAAAGACATGTAACCTTTTAATTGACTTGTTCACGTTAAAGGTCTCAGACAGAGTGGAAATCCTACGTTCGCCACTACTTTGAAACTGTTCGGAAGTTGACTCAGTCGTCGCTTTCCTCCTTAGATATTTTGTCATCCTAGTCCTAGCCCTATTGGCATAATCTTTGTGGTTGTTCATCGGGAAAAACTACAGGAACCAAGTAGCTAATGGATCATACAATGAGGCAAACACAGAAAAAACCCACTCTCACTGATGAGTCTGTCAGAAACATGGATTTCTTAAAAGAAAGATATCCCCATGTGTTCCACGGTAAACCTAACGTGTGTTCTGTAGGGTGTTTTTCAAAGTCCATTTCCCTCACTTTTGCTGCAAGTTATTCTATCTGTACAGACCCTCCTACTTGCGCGGCGTTGCCGAAACATCTTGTTAGTTTAAAATCTCCCTCAGCGAGAAAAGACCTCATCTGTCTAAGGAAGTGGCCTTTTCAGAGTTATCCTTAGATGTCAAGCAGTCATTCATATAGAAACACCATACGACAAGACCGGGGACTATACTGGTCTTTACCCACCGAAGGTTTCAACAGTCCGTCTTAATGTATAATTGCCACACTGCACTAAATGTATGAACGGTTAATTAATACTCAGAAGTCTTTTAAGTTGTATCACCAACCTTCCACCATAACAGGTGAAATGCACCTCAAGAATTTGTTTCAAAATCTTCACCTGTAGAAACATTACTCCTGTGTCAAGGGCAAGCATTATAACACAAACTCAAGAGCGTGAAAGCATTCTTACTAGGCTAGTGGCAGTATTTGTTCCCTGTAATGCCTTTCAGGCGTTTTTGGGTTAATAATAGGATGGTGAGATATATACCACTGTATCACGGATAAGCGCGCATCCCAACCAGTTCTACTATGTATCCTTTCGGTTAATACCTCACCATGACTTGTTTATATGGTTATAATAATCTACTTTATTCCGAAACAGTACTTATAATACAGAATGCAATTCTCAGCATTTGTCACAATATTGCATCTCATTTACTCAAAATATAAATAAAATTAAAGCAAAATTAACCAAGGAAATTTGTCCACATTTACGGTATAAAGTCAAAATATTCGAAGTACAAAATGAGAGTAATAGATGTAATAATAACACTGAGTTTTTTCAAACAGTATCGTCGATTCAGTTTGGAAACTTTAGCATGCTATAGATCATTGAATCTAATGTTATAATGATATAGTAAGGTGATGGGAAAGGCAAAATTAACAGTTATAAAACAGCTTAAATGATGTGTATACTTTTGAGAAAATGAACAAATAAAAACAAAAATTGAGAGGATTATAATTGTAAGAAAAATAACAATAAAGCTTGATGTGATAAGGAAGGAGAAAATGGATTATCTGCTAGTGCAAAGAAGGTTAGTTGGTTCATGCCTGATACTATTTTCATCACATGAATTACGTGCGAAATATGGTATAGTGGAATTTCTGTGCTAAGACGTACATGCATGAAGTTTTCCGAAAAGACTCCTTGTTTTACCTGAGGAGACAAGGTTGGAGCTGCGTGATAAAAATTCCCTTAAGGAATTTGTTGCATGATATCAAATGCCTGTCAGTGACAATGTCAACGATACGGCAGACCCAAGTCCCTAGAAAGATTTCTTTAGAGACACTCGAATGTATGACTGACAATTCCACAATTATCTGGCGGATTAAGACGATCATACTTCCATGATAATTCTACCTCAAAGTGTCTGCTGACAAGTCCGGAAGGAGGGGCGGCCAACTCAAGCACTCATTTGTCTTTAAATTCGTGATCACATTACCATCCAAAATTGTTCAGCATTTTTTGGCTTCCTGAGGTAGGACAACATAAAACACCAATTGGTGACTTATCATGTCGTTCCAGACCTAACATAATTTAGCCCATATTAGTTCTTACCGCAAGCGGTTGTCTATTCTCCTCGAACCGTTGTTCCAGCGCCCAGTGTGCTCTGGGATATCAAAACCAACCAGAATATCAATCATGTCATTCAGGTGTTCGTAGGCCCTTAACTGTTCCTGAAAAGAATGTTGTTCACTGGGTACACGTACTTGGGGTATCGTATACGCCTTGTTCGTCTTGAAGGATTCCTTCATTCAAGAAAGATGACCCTAAAGCCACTTCAACACATTCGTGCTATGAGACTCCATTTATCGTCACTATATTGAAAATTAGATCATTCTTTTCATTCCTCAACCTTTGAATTATCCTTTCTGAAACCAGGAAGGTTTCAGACCTACTATCTAGAAGAGCGTATCTTTCTTCACACCCTATGAGGCAAAACAACTTACAGGGACTAGACCCTCCTAATATTGTCGTATTGTCCGTAAAGTATTACTGAACTCAGCCTGAATAATGTTCTCTAAATGTAGCGGAGTGTGATGGTGCATCTTGCATCTATCCACATTACACATATTTTGTGGTGGACGACACATTGTGGTACCGACTAATTTTCGAAGTACCAAACAAATATTTGTACTTGTAACAGTTTTTCCTTCTCTCGACGGTCATTTCCCGCATTCTAGGACACTCCGCGGGGCTATCATAACACTTGCACAAAATAAAGCACCCAGATTCCACCAAAACACTTTCAGGCTGCCTTATAACAGCCGTCCAGCCACATTACATGATACTGACTCCTTGAATCCCTTTTTCCTTGGTGTCTGCGTTGCGCCTATGCAACGTTCCGTGTGGTGTTCCAGCCGCCCGTAATCTCTCTTCTACAAACTTAACCGGATCGTTGGACTCCAGACTTCAACTGGCCACACAAATATTGTTAGCCAGGTCAGCTCGTTTCACCCACATTTTGGTGGGGAAACGGCTGGTCACTCCTTCTAGACTTATGGGAGAGTTTGGACAAGAGATGAATTCCGTGGTACTCAGTGGGATATAAAAGTTACGGAGTCTTATAAGAAAGTCAGTAGGACTGTGGTAAGAGCTAGCTGCAAGCTAAAAGTCTAGACAGTAATTTACATCAATTTTATATCCCAAAGTGAGGTCCTGAGAAAAACAATAATGATATATAACTCGTATAAACGGGTAAGCTTACATGGAATGCATGCCGTTTTTACAGGCACGATCAGTTATGTTACAAATTACAATTGTGAGTTAGCACAGATTATAGTACAAGCAATCAGAACAGACCCTTATCAATGTTATATTGTAAACCCTTCAAGAAGGTGATCATCGAAGTTGAGCGACAACCCAAACTCCGTTCCATTTCCTGATGATAGCTATGCCCAATCGATGAACAACATATATTTTAGTGAGTGCTATGCACCCACGTGACTGAAAGCTATTTCAGGAAGAGAAGAAAATCTCGCATGGATGCAAAATAGTATAAAATACAGTCATGAATAATGCATTATTGGAAGTAGATTTACGAGATAAATACAAGAAGAAGCCATAGAGTACTGTCAAGGAACTTAGCCCTAAGTTCCTATTGTAATGAAGACGTCTTCACTTTGAACCGATAAATACTATGTATATGTTTCAACTTTAAATCCAAAACACCAGTATTCCTTGAACGAAATTATGTTGTTTGGCAATTAAAGCGGGACAAAATACAAAGTCTACAAACAAATGTTTAGTACAAATGAAGTTATAAAGTACTTTTATTCGTGTTCTTTCCGCTTTCGTCCAACTTGCTCGCGATCGAACCATTCGCGCCTTCGAGTTGCCCACCAATGGCTGCCAGTTCCAATAAACAAACGTTCAATGTTCACGTCCGTTGACAGTACTTTAAATGATAGTACAAATTCGCAATGTATGATGCTAACCAATAGCAAGGTTTGACCTTGATGAACTCACCAAACAGTCACAGTGGACCCGGCGTGTGCAAATAGGATTTGTAGATATATGCCTTAACTTTTTGGGAAATGGTCACAAGCAGTACAAAATAACCCTCAGCAAGAAAACAACCTATCGGAAGACGTTGCTTCTCTGCTAACAATTATTATCATTATTGTTTCCTTTAATTCCTAGAGGAACATAGGGCTACAGCCGTGCGTCTCCATTGAGTTCGGTTGTCTGCCAACGTTTTCACCTGTTTCCACGTCTGCCCGCATGATTTCACCTCCTCTTCACATGACCTCCTCCAAGTCACCCTCACCCTCGCACTGACGACCAACTCGCCGCCGCTTCCTTTCGGCTGGGTTCCACTCGAGCAATGGCTTGTCTAGTCATGTCACTCACTTGATGGTTTCCTCAGAGTATGACCAGCCAATCCATCTCCACTTCTTCCTGCCTTTTTGTTTCACAATCGGTTGGTTCCTGCTGTGTCGGTTGGTTCGCTCATTGCCAGAGATCCCTCTCTGTTGCTGATCTTTTCTGGCCGGCTGGCCATCTGATCTTGAGTGGTGTTGAGCGAAGACAACTAACTGGCTGTTAATGAAGGTCTGTAGTTTGTTTGAGATGCTGTTTATGACGCGCAGTGCAAGTCTCTGATTTGTGTAGTAGGTAGCACTGACTGACTTCACATTTGAGTTGAAAATCCGGATCTTATTTTTGATGATGAGTGCTGACTGTTGACCTCCACACAGACTTGAGAGTAGTGAGAGCTTGTCTTGCATTTCCAATCTTCGCTGCTTTGATATCCTCGTCAGTTCCGCCTGTAGTTGAGATGATGCTTCCCAGGTAACAGTAACAGATAATAATGTACATAAAAATTTACAAATATCTCCTTATTGTCTCAATAAATACTGCGTTGCCTATCCCTTACCTTCTGTCGTTACAAGACTATCTCCAGTCGTACCAGTGGACTGAGAATCCCCTGAAATTTAACTAACAAATGAATGATCAGTCATATGCCATTGTCCAAATCATATAGTATTTGCGTGGTCCTTTCATAGCTAACGAGCGAAGGACCACGTAGAACTTAGTAGCCTCTCTCACCTTTCCTCCACAAAGGTGCAAAAGATAAGTCAACATCTGCTCCTTGTCAATTAATTTAATACCAGTTATCCTTAGAAACTGACTGACAAAATGTTTATACTGATTAAGCCTGAAACGGACTCGTCCTCTTTGCTACCTCTCGAACTGTCCTCCTTCGATCCAGGCTTACTGACGAGTTTAGAATTGAGCGGCTTCAACTCATCCTCTGTTTCTAGATTTCCGGGCAGTTTGTCCCCATACTGTGATTTAGATTAAATATCTTTATCATCACCATGGTAATTACATAATAAATGCAAACGGACACAGGTATTTTAATACTCGATTCATCAACAGCTACATCAGTCAAGGAATAAAGTTACACTAAATCATCTAGTAGGGGTTTGTCCTGTCGTCTTTTACTTAGACGTCGTCCAGAAGCAGGCTGAGTTCCAGTTCTTCGGAGGTTTTTTCCGATTAAGATTTTTTTATTTTATTTCCTTCACGTTCCCCAGTGGAACATAGGGCTTCAAGCTAGAGTCTTGAAGTTTCTGTGGCAGTGTTTAATTTTTACGGGATGGGGTTGCTAGCCTCATGCCCAACCTTACCTCTTCACCAGCATTATTTCTGACTTAGAGAGGTAAAGGTGTGCGTCGGCCGGGGATCGAACCCCGGACCGTGTGCATGGTCGGCGAGATAATCAACCAAAATTGTAGAATAATTCGAAAGGTATTTCCTTGATAGTCCAAACTAAAATTGCAGGACTTTTGCACTTGGCCAAACCAAACCGAAGTAACTGAACTCTCGGCCAAACCGGCATACCCAATATCTATGGTCGGCCTGTGAAATTTGGGCCACCGGAATCCATGCTGAAAATTCCATACTTGTACTGAAAATACGTTGTGGCTTCAAGCTGTGATAGAAAAATTAAGGTAGTTTCAGGTCATAAGCATCACAAAAAGAGTCTTGGGGAAGTGGACTTGCGGTCCTAGACCATATCCAAAACAAAACCAAGTGGTTCTACATAAAACTGTGTTGATAACAGAATGCTGAAGAGCTGCAAGATTATTGTCCTATTAAATGATATGCATGAGATAAATATGGTACAAACTATCAAATATGATGTTATCTGGAATCAGTCTATCGAGAACGCAATGTTGGACCCAAAATTAGCTGGCAATTAGGAACGTGTCAATTCAAACAAAAAATTAACAGTAGTCCAATGAACCATAAACAGCCTAATTAGCACAAAATATAAGATGTTATGTGAAGTACAACTTGAGTGTTTGAAGAAGCAGTACTGGACGTTACTAATTGTTTTCTGCAAAATGAAGGAATAGATGTTGAAATGTCACTCATGATTTGTTGTGGGACTCCTCAGACATTTGTCTTTGACGTTTCAACAGGAATGCTGAGGGTAAGCACTCAATTCAGATATTCCAGCATATGGGGTGTCTGCATGAGCCAATGTGTTTGTGGTCGAGGTCCGTTCTTTGAACTTAACTTTTAAAAGAAGTTGGCGCCACTAAATCGTGTGCATGCTGGGGAATAAAACGTGTGCAAGTATTCTAAGGATGTTGGCACTGTGGCGTTTTGAATCACGTGCATGTCCTCAGGTAAACAGCGAATGTCATGTTCGTTAACCACATGTCCCAGGACAGAGTTCTGGCACTTGTTTAGACTAACTTTTTCCGAAAGTTGGCAGAAAATTTGCTATAGTGATGAGGATGAATTTCTTTATCCGAACTAGCTACCAAAACGCCATCCACATATTCATGAGTGAAGTCCAGTCTACAGAAAGCATCACAAGTGGAATGCCGGAATGTCTGCGCAGATTACGAAGACCCAGAAGAATGTAAGGAAACTCGAAAAGACCGATAGGGGGAGTGAATATAATCTTTAGCAAATGATCAAGGCAAAGTGTGTTGTAGTTATAGTTATGTATCAGGTGAGGCTTGCCATACAAACACGTGCTTTTAGAGGGTACAGTCAGTTTGCGTATGTGTGAGGCTGAGCAATGATTTGAGGCTGCTTCGTACCACTTGTCCCTCGGTAGTCATATACGCAACCCCACAACTCCTAGTAATGAGTGCTGACGTGGGTCATAGTGTCAAAAATCAGTGAGTTCCTAGTTGGAGAAGGTTATTTTTAGTGGTAAGTAGGATGAACGGATTTCCTCTGCTTGGTGTGGAGCCCTTTACTTTCAGCCACCTCTGCAAAACGAGTTAAAGGCAAGTTATTGTAGAATACTCAGATTCTTCATGTTGTCTTAGGTGAACTTCGCAGCCACAGTTGTTTTTAGAAAACTGTTGTCAGTTTCGGAGTCAGCAACTAGCTGGTTTACCTGATGAAGCTTCAGGGTGGGTTCACAACCTCCACCGCCAACATATCGGAAGGGTTTCTGCATCTTTCGCTGGCCTCTGAATACAAGGCAATTGATAAGGTACGCTTTTAGACAACTGTATAGGTAAGGAGATGGGTTTCTGAGGGCACCTCAAATACCTTCTGCCTCATTTCGTATTATTTAGATGATGAGTTACAGGTTTTTTAAAAAATGATAGTCAGTTTTGTGCTCACTGATGCGATAGAAAACACGCCTAAGTTGTGTTATAATTGGCGTGGATGAAGAACGGCGCGCGAGCGAAAAGTGAGTTTCTCGGGTGGTTGGGATATCTTGACTTTTCGGTGAGGTTTTTTGCCTGAAGTTAGCTTTATGTTTCGCAGTTGGTGCTAATTACCTAGAATTTCTTAAAGACTAACAGTTTTATTCAAATTGGGTGGACAGGTGATGGATCTATTCCCTCTCTTAAGGAAATTACGAGCGACATAATATCAACTCTCAAAAGCACGAAATAAAGTGTACATATTTGTCCTCATATTACCCACCATACATCTATAATGAGCATTTAAATGAAGATTTCTGGCCAGGAACCGATATCTTTTTTTTTTTCAAGCGGTCTTGCCTTAACCGTGAATACGGACGGCATCAACTGCTGATAGACCACACGATCCATGCAATGTAATCAGTTATTAGAAAGAAAAAAGTTGGCATCGCAGGACTCACATCTTGTATCGATGCTTAGATTCCATCAGTGACTACCGTAATGGCTCATCCAGTTTCCCCAAATAAGCCAAGTTCGTATGCATTCAAGATGGAGACTGTGCCAGTCACATGTTACACCTAATTATGTAGTAGCGTATATCAAATATGGTCGGATTCACACTGTTCATTAGTAATTCAGCAGTAATACCCTTAATCACCTGAAGTCAAGTAACTAAGTCCTCATGCTTACATTAAAGACTCTGATGACCTGAGCACCAATTGAAATGCCAATATCCGTATACAATTATATTTTTCCAACTGCTTTTCAAGTCTCCAGTATTTCAACTGTCTCCTTCGAATTAGTGTCGCCTCCTTACAGGTCGTTTCACTTGCTGCAGCTCATAAGGAACAATTTCTTGTTAAAGTAGTACTCATTGCTCACTTTCATTTTCGCTTTTGTCACCAAGTGTTGCTGCTAAATAACTCGTCTAGAAGAATGGATTAACGCAAGTAAAGAGTCAATTTAATGGAATTATTCACCGTTCTAAGGACTGTTATTTACTGGCATGTTCTGCGGTCTAACCTACGTACTTTGTCTTCTACAACTGTAATATATTTCGTTCACTTTGTATTTTTCTTCTCACATCGTAGAACATCTTTTACTTACGGGTTTCTGCCATACTTTTCGATAAGAGAAAGTATCATATCTGGAGTGTGTAGTGCACATCTGCAAATCTTGCACTGATTCTAAACTAATCACTGAGCACGTTATTTTTGTTTGCATTAAACGACATGAAACAATGTTCATATACTATATATATATTTATAGTATTCTTTTGATGATGCAGTATTGAACTGTAGGAATAGTATTCAGACGTTAACATTAACAGATACAATGACTTACTGTGGGAATAATACTCCGTGGAAACACTGTCCGTATAACGCCACCGCAGTAGGAAACACTCGAGCACCACGTAGGAGATTAGTTAAGATTTAGACATAGGACGCTTAGTAAAAGCATTGAGACACATTTTTGGTTACAGGGAAAGTGAATACAGCGTAATTTGGTGAGTCATACTATGAGGTGGCTGACTTCATTAAATATTTGGCCTCCAACTGACACTCCACATATTTAGACTCGATTTGACGGTTTTTTTTTGTAAGCTTGACTGACTAGCATTATGTATAGTAGTTTGATTATCCAGGGCACTTTCCTGTAGTAATCTGTTTTTCAAAACGTCTCAATTCATGTAGCGACTGGTACTTAGTTAACATTGAAACATCATTGATAGGTTACTTAGTGAGGATGTCGTGTTCTAGATTACTTCTCTTCACCTTGTAAGGCTGTGCTACCAAGAACTATAAGGATTCAACAATCGTTGCAAAAATAAGCGACGTTTACAGGTACTCTACGGCATTTTGTGATGCTTTTCCTATAGAGAGAAGAATAGGTCGTGCTTTTGACATTTTCTGAACGAGAAATGATATTCTTGCACTAATTCGTACTTGATATCCACTAAATTATGCACACATACTAATTTACACTAAATTTCAGTTGGCCAGTGGGGCTTAGAATGGTTATAAACATATGTTTTTTCGACTTATGAAATTTCATAACCCTTTGTGAATAGACTTATGATAAAATTAAGGCGAGTGCTATCTTTAACTGTTTATCCTATTTGCATAATTATAAATACTTGTGAATTTCTACGAAGGCTTAAATATGATATGCAAAATTGTGCTCAGTCCCACTTGGATGCAGTAAATTTGTGGTTTACTACTTTAGAAACTCGATTAGGTTGAAACAAATTTCGGTGTGGTCAGTGGCATCAGTCCATGAAGCTTCTAACTAATGATCTGACTTATTTATGGGTGAATGTATTGTGGAATATTACGAACCAGTGTTTAGAGGCATAGAGAAATGACAGTCGATGGAATTTCACAACGTCCATTAACTCTCCTTCGTTGGTTGATACTGTCAGATTTCAGCATTACTTATCACGTAAATTCATCAAATAATATACGGAACTATATCCAAACACTCATCTTCTAATTATTCTAATTTATCAAGTCAAATATACAATTAATATATTTTAATGTGTTGAAACAACAATAATCGGGTTTTTTTCTTTCTTGTTTCAGTTACGTCATGGTGTGTTACTATGACACGCAACTTAATCCATCAAAGCATTTACGTCATATTCAAACATCTGTTCGTAAAGTTTTAAAGTGGTTCTGTGATCTGTCTGCTCCGCGACGTGTAGAATTTGTCTGTGGTATCTTACAATTATCTACTCCACCAGAATTACGATTCTACGGCAGTTGTTTGGAGGAGATTGCTCGTCATGATTACGAGAGTCTTTTTGATGCTGAAGTACAAGCAAATGCACCTATAAATAGTTATGGAGTTTTAACACTTTATAATACATTACCATTGAAACCTGATGTTACTACAATGAATAAGTCATTTTCATCGATTATCCCGCCCTCATTTCTCATGCTAAATACTAGTCCAATATTACGAGCAAAACTTATTCTTAGTCTTTCATTGCTTAAATCGACGAATATCCCTGGAGCTACATGTTACTTTGAAGCCCTAATGGCTGATGATGTTGATTATAATGAATATGATGCCTATTTACTGACAGATGTTAAACCATCGTCAACTGCTGTTAATTGGCTAAAATCAAAGTGGAAATCATCCAAAAGTGTATGCATTTCACCATCAGATGATAGCGATATTGACGACGACGACGTCGACAGCAATGATGACGGTGATAACAGTAATAATAATAATGATAATAATGATGATTATGATTTGTCTGCAGTTGAGGATGCCTTAAAGACAATTAGTCCACAAGTATTAGAAGAGATTATGCTCATTTATACATTAGCTGCATTTCATCCCGCATTTTCATTTAGTCAAAGACAACGTTTATATAATCGTTTATCTCTTATCAGAGCATTATATGATTATTCAACAAAGGTGTTGATGCCTCAACACACTAATCAGTGTGGAAATTTAAATCAATCTACTCATGTATCTAATAATAATAATAATACTACATGCAGAAAATTGTCCTCAGAATCACAATCTTCATTATCAAATCTTAAACAGTATTGTTCTGTTACGAAATCAAGTGTTCCCGTAGATTCTGTAGCCAAGCACGTTTCTTCCTCTGGTGACCGGCGTTCATCAATCCAAGTAAGTTGCTTAGTTGTGTATTAATCGTACAGCTACATATATATTTATTACTTGATCAAAAGTGAGTGATTAGACAGAGTGTATTTCTTGATAGCAGTCAAAAAAAACCCATTGATTCATGGAAACAAATTGACGGCAATTCAGCGAAGAAAATCTCCTTAGTCGACAGTCATCTTCAAAGGTTTTACAATCGTATTTATTGTATGTAGTCGTGGCATTGTTATCGAATAGACAGCGCAAGTTAACTCCTCCACCAAGTTCATAAGCATCTGGTGAACAGAAGGCATGTAGTTCCACCTCTTCTAAAATTATATGTAAGATGTGGAAGGCTGGTTCAAGGAGTACTCAGTTTTAACAATTGTAAGCACTGGAGGTGCTAGTGATTCTTCAACACAACCTCCCATAATTGTGTGCAGAAAAGGTCTATTTGGCTTGTCAGTCTACCATGGTCCTGGAAGCCTGCATATTTGCTTGTTTCTTCTCTTAATTAGTTATGCACTATTGCTAGTCAGATATGTCATCTTTGTACAATTCACCATTTTTCCATTATTATTTTTTGCAAGTGTCAAGTAGGACACAACCAAATATTCTTATCATCTAGTAGCAATTTTCAGTCTATCAAGTTTCAAGCCTTTCCTTCCATTGTTTTAGTCAATTATTATGTAATCCCCTGTCTTTAGGAACCACTCTTCTGAGTGGGTGTATCAATTATGCCACACTTCTCTGTTACTGAATAGTAGCTTGCTATCAGTTTTACTAAGCATAGATAGGATCGAGCAGTTTTTGAAAATTCCTACTTACTAGCCATGTTTCAGTGTACAGTTAGGTGTTCTGACTGATGTTTGGAAACGTCAATTGATTGCAGTCTAGGGTTGACTTTATGACCTCTATGATTTAAAGCTTTGGGAACATTGTGCCTGTGCTTGATGCACCTATCAAGGTTATGTTGACAATATGAGGCAGACTGAAGAGCATGTTGAAATGGTTTTCTGAAGCTTGTACTGACGAATCTGTGACAATGAATATCTCTTCCTGTCTCGGTTTTTATCAAAATTTTTGTCAAAATTTTGACAATAAAACTGCCACATTGATCATCAGTGTCTTTCAGTTTCACGGATTCCAGCACATCAGAGTGTATTTGTATTCATTTTGTTAACTGAACTATTGCTATTTTTGGAGAGAGGTTAGGCGTGGTTATGTCTAAAGATAACACCAATCCGTGAAGTCTGTGACTGCTCGTCTAAGCTATTTCAAGGGTAGGTCTGCATGGTTGATGTCTTTAACATGTTAGAAATTAATGCACCGGGATGATAGTGAAATGGCTCAAGTTTGTTTACCATGATCCTGATTTAGTCATCGCATATCTCCACTGAGCTTGTGGACTGTTGTATTATTTCTGTTTACTCCTTTCTCTTCTGTGTGACACTCTAAGTGTCATAAGAATTAAAGTTTCTAACCGTAAGTTGTTAGTGGTCACACGAACCCTCTATCTGAATAATTTAGTGTTCCGCAGAAAATGAAGACCAACAGTAAAGTGGTCCTTTTTGAATTAGCTTTTATTTTTGTGTCAAACTGATACTTAAAGTTGTTAATTTTAGATCCTCACTGACTCAAAAATTGATATTGGTGTTGGCAGGTTGAATACAAGTCGAGCGAGATTTGTACCTGATACCCATTGGTTGGAAGTAAATTATTGCTTCCAGTTAGATAGGAATACGTAGCGTCACTTGAACTCATCGACTCAATGGCTAAACCAATTGGTTTTCAACCAACCATTGGGTCCAAGGTTTGAATTTCACTCTGCCGATTTCAACTTGACACAACTTAGTAGTATTATCAGCCTACATACAATAAATATGGCTGGTAACTCTGCTGCTGCTGCTGCTGCTGGAATCAACATAGAACTTGGCACCGAGGTGCAGCAGTTCGAGTTGCCACCTTCCAAATACCACACAAAGGTAGACAGAAAAATGAGAGAAGAGAATCAATCGAATTTAGATAACTATAAGAGTGAAACAATGAGTAATGGTGGTAGGAAGGAATATGAAAGGTTAAAGAGACTGAATACATCTGCGCCACTGACAACGATTTTGAGCCATGTCACCTATTGTCTCCAGCCACTGATTGATTCCTAGAGTCCCGAGGGCCCCAACCCGGAAGTCTACATCTCCCTACCTGACTCAGTTTAACTGTCAGGGATTTCATGGATTGATGAGGCCATGTTATTGTTTGGCCACCACTTACTCTTTTCCTCCAACCTGAACACCTATATCAGCTAGTAATGCCCGTCGGGGTGGGGGAGGCGATGGTTAGGCATGCGCAGCACGTGACCTAACCATCTCAATCTATGTAACTTCATAGCCTCTTCGATTGGTTTTCCCTCTTTGCCCAACACTCTACGCCTAACGTCAACTGGCTGGTAACTCTAGTGCTGGGTAAGATTTCAAACTAACTAACTAACTAGCCTAAACTCTTCTTTTTTTAAGGTTGAAAGAGATGAAAATATTCATCAGGTTGGATTGATCAAATTATTCTCGGCTTTTTGTACAGTTTTCATTTGTGCTGTAGTGTTACATCAATCTATTCTAATTAACTATTAAGAATGTTGTTCACCAGACTCTCATCATCGTCACTTTTTACATTTAAATATAGTTCTAGTTGGCCTAAGCACTTTCAAGTGATGAGCCTTAAATTCAAATCCCACTTCTCACATCTTACTAACGTTACGTTAACAAGTAGGCTGTTACAAACTGTATGTACGTACTCTGAAGTGTATGTCCCAGTAGTAGTATCATGTCGGATTGGTCGACATTTCATTAATGTGTATTCATGTGATGTAGAGACAACTTATCTCTCATTCCTTAATTGTTTATTTGTTTATTTTTCCCTCCTGCCTTATAGGATGACACCGGTGGTAATCCCTGTACCGGTCGTGCCGGTTGCGGCATCTTACTTTGCCATTCCCCCAAATGCCGTAAGTGATAATAAATAGTTAATTACTTGTGTAATTTGTTTATTGATTTATCTATTTTTAAAAGCAATTCATTTATTATTATTGTTCCCTTTGGTTCCTAGTGGAACATAGGGCTTCAACTGCACGTTTCCATTTGCTTCTGTCTTCTGCTGTACTTTTCACCTGCATCCATGTTAGTCCATACTGTTTCAACTCTTCTTCACACCATCTCCATGTCACCCTTGAACTTCCTACTCGCCACTTCCCTTTCGGGTTCCACTCGAGCAGTGGCCTGACGCGCGATGTCACCCAGCCAGCGGCCTCCTCACCCAGTGTCCAATCCATCTCCACTTTCTCCTGCATATTTGTTGGGCGATTGGTTCTTGTTTTGTTTGTTCCCATAGTTTCTTGTTGGTTCTTGTTCTTTCCGGCGGCCATCTGATCTTGAGTATAGAGCCAGCGAAGACAGTTGTTGTTGATAAAGGTCTGCAACAGGCTGTTGGAAATACTCATTCTTTGTGACCCGCCAAGTTTCTGATCCAACCGTATAGAAGATCTGACTGACTTGACGTTTGTATTGAAAATCCGAATCATTTTGTTGTTGATGCAGGCTGAGTGAGTGACAACGGAAGATTTCCAGATTGGTTTCAGGTTGATGAATGTGTTTCTCGCCTTCCCGACTCTCGATTTGACATCCTCGTCCGTTCCTCCTGTAGTTGAGACAATGCTCCCTAGATAAGTGAATGAAGTAACCTCTTTCAAATCCCTCCCGTTGATGGTGATTGGCGTTGGATGTTGCTGTTGTTGTTGGTTGGTTATTTTCATAACCTCCGTCTTGTCTATGTTCACCTGGAGTCCTGTCTTCTCTGGCTGCTTCTTCGACCAGTTTGTCGGTCTTCGCTTGTCAGTCTTCGATTTTGTGTGACGAAGATGACGAAGCAATTCATTTGGTTTTTTCGAATTCTTCTTAACGGCTTTTACCACAAATTTTACCACAATAATATAGTATGTGAACTCTAATCCCTAGTTGTTGTGAATTCACGAAAATACTTGGTTACAAGTAAAATTTAAATAAATATACCAGACAAATCGTAAATAAATGAATGGAGGTGTAAAATGAAAACAAAAACAAACAACGGATGAACTATGAGGGTGGTTGTGTAATGTTAACAGTAAAAGTCAATCGATGAGATAATAGCCAGGACATGTGTTATGCGTGTCAAGTTACCGACTTCCTTGTCGAGCAATATAAGCTAACATAAGGGGGGTTAATGGTGGTCACACGAAGACCTCGACTTGAGTGCATAAAATCCTTGACGGTCGGTTTGAGTCACGTGGGGGTGGGGTGGGGGGTGGGAGGTGTTGACTGTTTGGTTAGGGTCCTTGGGGGGGGGGTGCTAAGAAGCAATGGCTGGAGAATATATTGGTAATATTACTTGAAATTGTTTTCAAGTGGTGCAGATGAATTCACTCTCTGTAATCTCCTATATTCACTAAACCGTCATCCTTGTTACTCTTGTTACTATTCTCCTTTCTCCTACACATCTCTACTTATTATATATCTCTTTTGAATTCATTTTGTCGCGTCTACCTTTTTCTACCTTTGTGTGCTGAATAGACAGTGTGGGAAGTCTAACCTTCTGTACTTCTGTGCAGAGTTCTATGTTGAAACTCAGTCAGTCAGATATACCAGACGAATTGTATATGGATGAGTGGTGATGTAAGCATACAAAATACCTTTCAACTTGTGTCGTGAAGAAATATTCAGTAGCCTATCAGGCGATAAAGGTATTGCAATGTAGCCGTTTATGTCGTACTATATACACACTGTTTCAGTGATTACTGTCTGTCTAACAGTGCATCATTCTAGGTCGTGATCTGTTGGTTTTAACTATCCTTTTTCACATTATTTCGCCTATTATCGTGGGACTAAGTAGTACGTACTCGTCCCAAAACCAGCTGGTTAATCTTGGTGGGTTGTCTCGTAAATGACACCGGTCTTTCTCTCGAAATGTTTTCATATGTCTACGCGACCATAACCTCTACCGGGTTAATTCCTACTTACTGACCTCACTTGGCTGTGTTCTTACAAGAAATCAAAGGGCAGAAGGCTGGAGTTCATCATTGAACTGGTGGACATAAAAGACCACTTAAGAAAGTCCTGACTCAAAACATATATTGTGCATATAAGCTTCATCATCTGTTGGGGAAGAAAGGCATGTTTGCAGCTCTTGATGTTACTCTGTGCTGCCTTTGGGACTAAATTTCAGGTTAAATTTTGGACAGAAGTCTCGTAGGACAACCTCCTACTTTGGTTTAGGTAATTTCTCTCTTAGTCTTCATGCAATTCCGTAGAAAACTGTACTCGAATATCCTCTCGCAAATTACTTCGTTAATCGTATATATTCATTGCTGTAGGCCATCTTTTCACTTTCATTCAGTTCATCTCAGCCTTGTATACAGAAAACTGTATCTGGCTGGCTGGCTGGATTCAACATGGAATTTGGCACCGAAGTGCAGCAGTTCCAGTTGCCACGTTCCAAAGAGCACACAAAGGTAGGCAAGAAGATGAGTGAAGAGAATCAATAGAGTTTTGACAAGTATAAGATTGAAACAGAATGAATGAGTAATGGTGGTAGAAAGGAATATGAAAGATTACAGAGACTACTGAATACATCTGCGTAAGCGAGCCATTGACAACGATTTTGAGCCATGTCACCGACCGAAAGCTGCTACCTTGACGTGGTGGTCGGGCTTGCATATCGCAATGACCCAACGAGCTACACTGGCTGGAACTTATGTTCCTGTAGGTCCTACCATGCCAGAAAGGTTGTTTGGATAGCGGTTACAAAAAAGCAGCTACCCAATCCAATGCCATGACTCAAACAAAATCACAAAATATGATGCCGGATCGGTCGGGGCCCGGATTAACAACGACCGCGCTTCCTGCTGCCCTGTCACAGGGCAGAAGTGATAAATACGCTACTGAGACACCAAATAAAAAAGAACAAACAAAAACAGGCCGTGTGTGACCGGCCTCAAGCAGTTGTGCCCTGGGCTCTGCGGTCACGCAACCAACTTCCACGGTGTGGGCAGCCGGGAAGTAACAATCGCCCTCACAATCCGAAGTGCACGCGAAACCTCTCTAATCCTCACTCATCTTTGTATCCATCTTCATCTGTATTATCTTGCCTTCCTTCTACCAGTGCAACTCCTTTACTTGATGGCTCTTCACTTCCTTTTCACTCTGTGTGCACTGATAACGATGGAAGCCAGAAAACTGTATCGGATAAATGTGTTGTATATGGTTATCAGAATATTATTATTATTAGATGAGCGGTGGCATTCATCGTTGAAATATTTCTGATCAAACGTTGTAGAAGTTGGGAAATCACTGGTCAGTTTTCTTCCGGTAAACTATTTCTACCTCGGTGAAATGCATGCGCAATTCAATACAATAAATGACTCGCTAAGATTATACACATATCTCAGTCACCACGATCATCAACACAAGTCGTTTTCGCTGCCTAACTATCAACGCCACTATGTTCCATTGGTATATATATCATTTTCTATCTCTCCTATAGTTTCACCACCTCACACTTGTAAAGTAGTGGTAGCGGCGAGTTTAAACACTGTCCTATTACCAACTGTGAGAGGCGTTCGTGTATTTTTTTTAAATGTGTGGGCGGTTGTTACTTCCCGGCTGCTCACACTGTGGAAGTTGATTTTGCTTCTTGGAGTACCTGAAACAGGAAGAGAAATTGGTGCTGCATCACTGCAAAGCGCAGGGGATAACTGCTTGAAGTTAGTCACACACACCACCTGTTTGAACTAGTTTTTAGAGTTGTTTAGGTATTAGGAGCTTACCACCGGTTACTATGGACCACTGTAAAGTTAGTCGGAGTGTACAATTTTACGGGTCGAACTTTCCTACCTGGCATGTTGGTCATCTGAAGAAAACACCTTACTGCTGTTACATCCCTGTTCCCCAGCAGTACGATTTTTCCTACAGACCCCTTTAGGATAGTGTAAGCATCTTACACCATGCCGGTAACCGCTCTTAGTCTAATCGCTATCCTAACAATCTTTCTGGCATGGTGGGACCTACAGAGGAACATGAGTTCCATCCAGTGTAGCTTGTTAGGGTTTATTGGGATATAGATACCCGGCCATCACGTCAAGACAGCAGTCCTCGGCGAGGATTACCAACCGCTTAATGATGAAACCCGAATTGGTTGGAGGACTTCATCATCATGAGCTGACATCAATTACAGAACCATTGGAAAACCTGCAGGAAGTACTGAACAGTTGTTTCCTCCTAGTTTAGGACTCCTCATAAGCACATACCCACCGGGGTTCGAACCCAGAACCCTGTGGTAACAAGACTAGCGAGCTCGTAGACCATTTAGGCGACTGGGACCCGATCCAATGACCAGCCCATGACTTCTAACTTCTGCCAATTCACCACATAGCGCGACGACTTCGCAATGTCTTCTTCGATGAGAGTTACTGCCTCACCGTCAACCTACTGTACCCTACTGACCACCGCTTCCCACTAAAAACCCCAGGTTAACTGTCTGAATAGAGCTAGTCGCTAGTAAGCATCAGATTAATTCTCAGGTATTGGTTCTGTAGGGGTTTTTGTTTTTTTATTGGTTGGAGGATTTCATCATGAGCTGGAACCTGAATTCTCATTATCGCCTGTGTTTATGTGTTGCTATCGTTGATACTGTCGTTATCTATCCAATGAGGAACTATATATATACTCTGAATATTCAATATTGATAATCTTTCTAAACATACATACCAAAGATAAATTAATTGTGCATATATATACATATATATTATGTGGAAGAGGTATCGAATCAACTGAACTTGATTTTTAAGGCCTTTATTTTTTCTTTCACATCATCATTTTGTCAGCTTGCATTGTGCCCACTTGCTTATTTTTATTCAAATGCAGGTCACACACTTCTTTTTTATTTGTTCATTGTTCAACTGATTATTAGTATTGCTAT